GTCGAGTTGCTGGGCTCGGGTTAACGAAGACAAACTATCTCCCTCACGGGGTCCTTATAATACGGCTCCTACTATTCAGGGCACGATATTTGGGTCCCCTCTTTTCGGAAACTCCCATGTGGGGGTGGCCTTGCTCGATGTCGTATCTTTACTACTTATGCACTCGGAAACCTTCTGCGACACTTGCAGCTTCAAACCTGGACAGTCTCGTTTACACAAGATCACCACTGGGAAACTAGCTGCAGCAATCAGTCACAAAGACTATTTTGAGTGCGCCAAGCCCTAAATCCGAAAGCCTCAACTCTAAAGCCACCAAGATCAAGAACAAACCAATAAACCCAAAACCCTAAACCCGAAACCCTAAACCCAGAGCAAAAAAGGCCAAGAATGCCCTGGACTGTAGCAAAGCCCCGCCGCCCCCGTGCAGCCTGGAGCGCAGACTCCGACTTGCCAAGGCTGTGGCACATCGAGATCAAAACCCCGTGCACGTAGGCCTCGAGATTGGGGATTTAGGTTTAGGGTTTTGGGTTGAGGCTTTTTATAGGGTTCTCTCCAGACCGACCTTTCGACAATGTCCATGCGACTGCTCGGCCCGAGACCGCTTTTAGTGCATAGTGCTTCCTTCATGGTCCGAGACTTCTCAAATACCGGTCCCAAGCCGCTTTTTGTGCGTACTGCACATGGCCCAAAACCTCTCAGGTAACCCGGTCGGAACCGCTTTTAGTGCCTTACTGCAGCCAACAAGGTCCGAGTCCTCTCAAGTAACCCTCTTTTAGTGCCTACTGCAGCCAGCATGGCCCGAGACCTCTCAACTACGCGGTCCGAAGTCGTTTTGAGTGCCTGCTGCAGCCAACATGGTCCGAGACATCTCAAGTATCCGGTCCAAAACCACTTTTAGTGCCTACTGCAGCCAACATGGTCCGAGACCTCTCAACTACCCGGTCCGAGACGCCTTTTCGTGCCTACTGCAGCCAGCATGGCCCGAGACCTCTCAACTACCCAGTCCGAAGCCACTTTTAGTGCCCACTGCCAAGGTCCGAGACCTCTCAAGTAACCCGGCCCGAGACCGCGTTTAGTGCCTACTGCAGCCAACACGGTCCGAGACCTCTCCACTCTCCAGTAACCCGGTCCGAAACCACTTTTAGTGCCTGCTGCAGCCAGCAAGGTCCGAGACCTCTCAAGTAACCCGGTCCGAGACCGCTTTTTAGTGCCTACTGCAGCCAACAAGGTCCGAGACCTTTCAAGTAACCCGGTCCGAGACCGCTTTTAGTGCATACTGCAGCCAACAAGGTCCGAGACAGCTTTTAGTGCCTACTGCAGCCAACAAGTTCCGAGACCTCTCAAGTAACCCGGTCCGAGACCGCTTTTAGTGCTGACTGCAGCCAACCAGGTCCGAGACCTCTCAAGTAACCCGGTCCGAGACCGCATTTTGGTGCCTACTGCAGCCAACAAGGTCCGAGACCTCTCAACTACCCGGTCCGAGACCGCTTTTAGTGCCTACTGCAACCAACAACCTGGTCCGAGACAGCTTTTAGTGCCTACTGCAGCCAGCAAGGTCCCAGACCTCTCAAATATCCCGGTCCGAGACCGCTTTTAGCGCTGACTGCAGCCAACCAGGTCCGAGACCTCTCAAGTAACCCGGTCCGAGACGGCTTTTAGTGCTTACTGCAGCCAACAAGGTCCGAGACCTCTCAAGTAACCCAGTCCGAGACCGTTTTTAGTGCCTGCTGCAACCAACAAGGTCCGAGACCTCTCAAGTAACCCGGTCCGAGACCGCTTTTAGTGCGTACTGCAGCCAACAGGTCTCAAGTAACCCGGCCCGAGACCGTTTGTAGTGCCTGCTGCAGCCAACAAGGTCCGAGACCTCTCAAGTAACCCGGTCCGAGACTCCTTTTTGTGCCTACCGCAGCCAACAAGGTCCGAGACCTCTCTAGTAACCCGGTCCGAGACCGCTTTTAGTGCCTACTGCAGCCAACAAGGTCCGAGACGTCTCAAGTAACCCGGTCCGAGACCGCTTTGAGTGCTTACTGCAGCCAGCAAGGTCCGAGACCCTTCAAGTAACCCGGTCCGAGACCGCTTTTAGTGCTTACTGCAGCCAACAAGGTCCGAGACCTCTCAAGTAACCCGGCCCGAGACCGTTTGTAGTGCCTGCTGCAGCCAACCAGGTCCGAGACCTCTCAAGTAACCCGGTCCGAGACGGCTTTTAGTGCTTACTGCAGCCAACAAAGTCCGAGACCTCTCAAGTAACCCGCTCCGAGACCGTTTTTTGTGTCTGCTGCAGCCAACAAGGTCCGAGACCTCTCAAGTAACCCGGTCCGTGACCCGTTTGTGTGCCTATTGCAGCCAACAAGGTCCGAAACCTCTCAAGTAAACCGGTCCGAGACCGCATTTAATGCCTGCTGCGGCCAACAAGGTCAGAGACCTCTCAAGTAACCCGGTCCGAGACCGCTTTTGGTGCCTGCTGCAGCCGACACGGCCCGAGACCTCTCAAGTAACCCGACCTCTCAAGTATCCCGGTCCGAGACCGTTTTTGGTGCCTACTGCAGCCAACAAGGTCCGCAAGTAACCCGGTCCGACACCGCTTTCAAGTAACCCGGTCCGAGACCCCCTTTAGTGCCTACTGCAGCAAACAAGGTCCGAGACCTTTCAACTAACCCGATCCGAGACCGCTTTTATTGCCTACTGCAGCCAACAAGGTCAGAGACCTCTCAAGTAACCCGGTCCGAGACCGCTTTGAGTGCTTACTGCAGCCAGCAAGGTCCGAGACCTTTCAAGTAACCCGGTGTTTAGTGCTTACCGCACCCAAAAAGGTCCGAGACCTCTCAAGTAACCCGGCCCGAGACCGTTTGTAGTGCCTGCTGCAGCCAACATGGTCCGAGACCTCTCAAGTAACCCGGTCCGAGACTCCTTTTTGTGCCTACCGCAGCCAACAAGGTCCGAGACCTCTCAAGTAACCCGGTCCGAGACCGCTTTTAGTCCCTACTGAAGCCAACAAGGTCCGAGATCTCTCAAGTAACCCGGTCCGAGACTGCTTTTAATGCCTACTCCAGCCAACAAGGTCCGAGACCTCTCAAGTAACCCGGTCCGAGACCGCTTTTAGTGCCTACTGCAGCCAACAAGGTCCGAGACCTCTCAAGTAACCCGGTCCGAGACTCCTTTTTGTGCCTACTGCAGCCAACAACGTCCGAGACCTCTCAGGTAACCCGGTCCGAGACGGCTTTCAGTGCGTACTGCAGCCAACAAGGTCCGAGACCTACCCGGTCCGAGACCGCTTTTAGTGCCTACTGCAACCAACAACCTGGTCCGAGACAGCTTTTAGTGCCTACTGCAGCCAGCAAGGTCCCAGACCTCTCAAATATCCCGGTCCGAGACCGCTTTTAGTGCCTACTGCAGACAGCAGGGTCCGAGACGTCTCAAGTAACCCGGTCCAAGACCGCTTTTGGTGCCTACTGCGGCCAACTCAAGTAAACCGGTCCGAGACAGTGCCTGCTGCAACCGAAATGGTCCGAGACCTCTCAAGTAACCCGGTCCGAGACCGCTTTTAGTGTCTACTGCAGCCAACAACGCGCGAGACCTCTCAAGTAACCCGGTCCGAGACCACTTTTAATGCCTGCTGCGGCCAACAAGGTCCGAGACCTCTCAAGTATCCCGGTCCGAGACCGCTTTTAGTGCCTACTGCAGACAGCAGGGTCCGAGACGTCTCAAGTAACCCGGTCCAAGACCGCTTTTGGTGCCTACTGCGGCCAACTCAAGTAAACCGGTCCGAGACAGTGCCTGCTGCAACCGAAATGGTCCGAGACCTCTCAAGTAACCCGGTCCGAGACCGCTTTTAGTGTCTACTGCAGCCAACAACGCGCGAGACCTCTCAAGTAACCCGGTCCGAGACCACTTTTAATGCCTGCTGCGGCCAACAAGGTCCGAGACCTCTCAAGTATCCCGGTCCGAGACCGCTTTTAGTGCCTACTGCAGACAGCAGGGTCCGAGACGTCTCAAGTAACCCGGTCCAAGACCGCTTTTGGTGCCTACTGCGGCCAACAAGTAAACCGGTCCGAGACAGTGCCTGCTGCAACCGAAATGGTCCGAGACCTCTCAAGTAACCCGGCCCGAGACCGTTTGTAGTGCCTGCTGCAGCCATCAAGGTCCGAGACCTCTCAAGTAACCCGGTCCGAGATTCCTTTTTGTGCCTACCGCAGCCAACAAGGTCCGAGACCTCTCAAGTAACCCGGTCCGAGACCGCTTTTAGTGCCTACTGCAGCCAACAAGGTCCGAGACGTCTCAAGTAACCCGGTCCGAGACCGCGACTAGTGCCTACTGCAGCCACCAAGGTCCGAGACCTCTCAAGTAACCCGGTCCGAGACAACTTTCAACTATCCCGGTCCGAGACCCCCTTTGGTGCCTACTGCAGCCAACAAGGTCCGAGACCTTTCAACTGACCCGGTCCGAGACCGCTTTTAATGCCTAATGCAGCCAACAAGGTCAGAGACCTCTCAAGCAACCCGGTCCGAGACCACCTTTAGTGCCACTACAAGGTCCGAGACCTCTCAAGTAACCCGGTCCGAGACCGCTTTTAGTGCCTACTGCAGCCAACAAGGTCCGAGACCTCTCCAGCAACCTGGTCCGAGAGAGCTTTTAGTGCCTACTGCAGCCAACAAGGTCAGAGACCTCTCCAGTAACCTGGTCCGAAACCGCTTTTAGTGCCTACTGCAGCCAACAAGGTCCGAGACCTCTCAAGTAATTCGGTCCGAGACCGCGCTGAAAAACCTACTGTAGCCAACAAGGTCCGAGACCTCTCAAAAAGCACCGTTTTCTGCCACTCCAAGCAGCATTGGGCACAAAGCCGAAGCTTGCCGGCATCTCCTGCGCGTTGCACATTTCGTGGGTTCGAAAATCAAGGGTCAGCAGTTCCCTTTTAGAGGGTGCCCAGAAACACAAAGAGTTGCTCCAAAGTCCACTTTGCGTGTGCAAAAGCTTCGGCTTTCGGGGTTTGATCTGGCACCCATTCAGATCAGCGTGTACGTTTCTGCATGCATAGCTCTCTTGAAGCACATGCTACGGGATGCGAGGCCTCAACTTGCAATTGAGTCCTAAACGCTGAACCCCAAACCTGAAACCAGTAACCCTTGTAGTCGGCATCCTGAAAGACCTCCAGCGCTTGGTCGAGCTCCCCCCTGGCCATAAGTAGAGGCCGTAACCCCAACCACGCTCCAGGGTCAACGCTCAAGTTGAGGGATGTTGTACTTTCCTACGCTCTAAACCCTAAACCCCCTAAACCCTAAACCCTAAACTCCCTAAACCCTAAACCCCCTGAACCCTAAACCGCTATAGGGGGCTTGAAGATGCCTACAGATGAAGGCTGATGCATAGCTTTGGTATGGGTCACACAGGTATCGGGGTTTTACCCACGGATCCTAGGGCCGCTGATTGAGCCAGCCCTTCTTTCTTTGAGCGCCTTAACATTTGCTGTAACACTTCTTGCGGAAAGCGCCCTTATTGATCAGAGCTTACATGGGAGTTTCCGAACAATAGGGGACCATAATATAGCACCCTAAATAGTGAGATCCTTATTAAGGACCCCTAGATAAGGTCTCCCCATTTTCGGAAAGTCCCACATTGGTGCTTAGCGATCCTTTGGGGGGTACCGTTCGTGCCGACACTCAGTTTGGATTCAACCTCCACACTCAACACTGCATCACCAAATCCCCCCCCCAACCCCCACAACCCCCCTAACCCCCCAACCCCCACCAACACCCCCAACCCCCCCAACACCCCCACGTGGAGCTGGCACCTCAGAGCTTAGGTTTAAACCTTCAGAGTCTTTTTTTGAGGACCTTTTTCCTGAATTTTGAACGGCACAGGGTTTGGGGTCTACGGCCGAGGTCGGCCCAAAACTTTGTACACTACACACTACACTCTAAACCTTATCCCTGTGTGAAGCAAGGTCCATGTTTAACAGCAGAACGTTGGAGGGCAAACCCTCCCCTGCACTCAACTGGAGCTCTTCTTCACTCTGCAACCTGAGATCATCAACAGCTGGAAGAGGCCAGGAATTAAAAGCCTAAGAGTCGTCAGGCTTGGGAATATTTACCAAGTCCCCTTATCCCTCTAAGTAGCTCCCGAGACGCACACGGGCCTTGCGAAGCAGAGCCTGCAAGGGGGACAGTCCAGACACAAAACCCTGAACCCTCAACCCTGAGCGCCCAGAGCCACTGAACCCTCAACATCCGCAAATCCTAAACCCTCCTGAATCCCGAAAGCCTCGACCTTGAACAAGGACTCAGATGTCAGATCTTACGAGGAAGACACTGGAATGCAGGGTCTCAGAGTTTTGGAATCTTGGAGCTCCCAGAGCCTCCAAAACCCCTTACTTAAGGAATATACCTTAAATTACAATAGGATCCCTTATATGATTCAAGGTATATATTCCTTAATTAAGGGGTTTTGGAGGCTCTGGGCTGTTCGGGTTGAGTCTGCGGATTTGGAGACCCAGGCCTGGGGCTTCAACCCTAAACCCCCCAAAGAGCCCAAAACCCCTTAATTAAGGAATCTAGCCTAAGGCCTAGGGGTTCCTTAAAGGGCTCTTTAAAGGGATCTATAGGGGTTCTATCAGGGAATTAAGGAATAGAGCTTAATTCATAATATGAAGCCCTTTATGATTTAAGCCATATTCCCTAGTTAAGGGGTATTGGGCTGTCTGGGCCTATCCCCTGAACCCAAAGTGTTATGGTTGGGAGCAGTTAGAGTGAACTGCGCATGCTGCAGACCTCTGATAGAAAGCTGCTGGGAAATGGCAGCTGGGGGTTGACCATGATGAGGGTTTAGGGGGTTTACCCAGAGGGCCCAATACCCCTTAATTACGGAATATGGCTTAAATTATAAAGGGCTTCATATTATGATTTAAGCTATATTCCTTAATTAAAGGGTTTTGGGCTCTTTGGGTAGGACCCGTCCGGAGGTGGTTGAGATCTTGTGCATCCAGTGAAGTCAAGCATGCTGCTCTACATGGAGACTTACATCTTAATCAACTAAACATCGTCCCATCGCTATAACAGCCATGGCCGCCGTGTCCACGACAAACTTTGTGGCTTTTATTTTTGGCAGAAGTCAGTGAGATTGTCAGGCACACGTTATTGGTACCATGACTTCCGAAAAATGTGGCGAGCGGGAAAGTAAAACCAAACACCCTTCCGAGAAGACCGCATACGAGGAAATACATGGATTCGCCGTGCGATCCACTGAAGGCATTAGCAACCTGCACGACTATTTTTCTATATCCTAAACCCTAAACCGATGTAAGCAAGCGAATACGTACATACTGGCAGTGGGATTAACGCGGAGGACGATCCTCAACGCCTGACTCCTGGGTGGTACCCTCCCTTGTGATTGGTCTTCATGAGAAGGGGATACATATGCGAGCTTGAGGAAATAAGGGACCATTAACTAATATAGTATACCAAATTGTAGGTTGTAGGATCCCTTATTGCAAGGGCCCCCAGAACAAGGTACCCCTGATTTTCGGAAACTCCCATGTGGGATATCCCGAAAACCCTAAACCGTAAAACCCCCTCCTGCGTGCCCTATGTTAATCTCTCCCGCGCCAACCTCAAACTTGCAGCCAGCGTCGTGTTCGACGGTCGGAGATGATAGGACTCCATGACCGAGATCACCTGATTCTGTAAGGGTTTGGAGCGTTTCCCCGAATTCTTAGGTTTAGAATGATTGACTAGAATAGAAGTCCATCGTAAAGCCCTGCTAACATCGGGGCCCTATCAACTCAACTAGGGCTTTGGGTGTATCCAACTATACCTATGTCAGGGACTAATGCATTAAGGCTGTTCGGAATTAATGGGCCCTTGGCAGCAGTAAGGAGAACAGCTAGCAGGAATGAACTCGGCTAGGACCAGGAGCGTTCATGTCCTTCAGACGAATGCTGCGAAGTTGGATTTATGGGCTTTCAGCTTCACTTTTGCTCAAGCTACGGATTCGGACCCAAGCTAGCAATTTAGCTCCCGGATCGTCCGCATGAGGTGCTCTTATGACCTTCTGCATGCCTTGTATAACCCGTAAACCCTAAGCCCTATAGCCTAAACCCCTAAACCCCTAAACCCCTAAACCCTGAACCCCTAAACCCCTAAACCCTAAACCCCAAACCCTATAGAACCTATAAACCCTATAAACCCCTCAACCCCCAAGCACCGAAACCCTAAACCCCTAAACCCTAAACCCTACAAACCCCTAAACCCCTAAACATAGCTTCTCATATGGGTGGTTGTCAAAATTATGGTCCCTTTTTGGGTCCCGTATATAGCACGACACCTAATATTTAGGGTACCCCAAAAAGGGACCATAATTTTGACAACCACCCCTATCCTTCAGGCGCAGGCGTGCTCTGCAAGCTCCAGCTGGGCCTGGGCCACGCAACCTGAGAGCCAAGGAAGATCCCGGGCATGGAGGATGTCTTGGGTTTACCTTAACCCTGAATAACCTACCTTTTTAGGGTTCCCTATTATGATTTCCTTATATAAGTCCTTAACAAGGTAGGTTCTTCAGGGTTAAGGTAGGGTTTAGGGGTTAGGGCTCAGGGGGTTTAGGGTTTTATAGGTTTAGAGTCGGTTTAGAGAGTGTAGGGTTTAGGGTTTAGATTTAGAGGATAAAGGGTAGTGGCACCTCTTTCTGAGGGTTCAGGGGTGGAGGATTTATGTAGGATGAGGGGTTCAGGATTTCTTGGGTTTCGGGTTTTTGGCGTTGGGTTCATAGGGTTTAGGGAGGTTTGGGGCTTTAGGCATTGGAGAAAGTTCGGGTCCTGGGTTCTGAGATTTAAGTGGTGATGCATTTTTCTCAGGGAGTTTTTCAGGAATAGTTCCAATATTGAGCCCTGAACTGCACTATAGACCCCAACCCTAAGCCCTATAGACCCCGAGCCCTAAACTAAACCCCAACCCTAAGCCAAAAATACCCCAAGCCCCAAACCCTAAACCCCAATCCTAAGCGCTATAGACCCCAAGCCCAAGCCCCAAATCCCAAACCTAAGCCCTGTAGGCCCCAAACTCTAAACCCCAACCCTGTGTAGACCCCAAACCCTTATTCGGCTGCCCACATTCCAAGAGGGCATCCACGAGGGATGCATCGGGTCGGTAACCCCACCTCGCAGCTTTAGGCTTGAGGGTTTAGGACTTAAGAATTGCGGTACTTAGTGCATAGGGCCTAGGGCTTTAAGGATTTAGGGTGTTTAGGCTTGAGGGTTTAGATTTTAAGGGTCTGGGGTTGCCAGCGGAACTGAAGATTAAGGGTTTAAGGTGAAGATTAAGGGTTTAGAGGTGATTTTAAATGGTGTTCAGGGTTCGGGATCCTGCGAAAGCCCGAAGACGAAAAACCTAACGCACTAATTCCCACAGCCTCATGACCCCAAACCCGACACCCCAAATCCAAAAGCCACTCAGGGTTCAGGGTCAGACTTTACTAAACCTGAAACCCAGAAGTCCTTAAGCCGAATCCCAGCTATGCTGCATCCTCAGCAACAAACCCCAATGCTTTGACACGACCCTACTCTATTCATCAAAGCCCAGCCCATATCTCTACTCAAACAAATGTTGAAAACCACTGATAACCCCCTAACACACGACCCGCAAGGAAGCGAATGAAACCCCTGTGACTCCCGACAACATCATGGTGTCCTCATGGAACATGGACCCCGGGGCCGGCACTGCAGCATTAGGTTGAAGAACTGGAGAGCCTGGAAAGGGGGAAAAGGAGGGACCCTTAATAAGGACCCCTAGGTCTATACCCTTAATATAGCTATTATATACCCAATATATAGCCCATTATAGGGTAGGGGACCTTATTAAGGGTCCCTCCGTTTACCCTTGGAACTAAGCTACTCGGAAGTTCAGGCTTCCAACTCCTACGGCTACCCACGACATCGGTACCTCCAAAAACGACACCAAAAACCACCCGTTTTGACCATAGAAAGTGGCCCGTCAGTTGAAACCCTGCAACCATGAATGAAGATCAAAACCCTAAACCTTCTAACCCTAAACCCGGAACTCCTAAACCCGACAACCCCGAAAACCAACGCCCAAAACAACTAAACCCTAAAACCCTAAAACCCTGTAACCCTGAACACAAAAACCCTGGAGCCCTTCACCTCAAAACCCTAACACCCTCTGGAACCGTACAACAGTGCAATCCTAATGCCCTAAACCCCCCCAGCCCCCAAACGCCCGGGAACCCTGCAGCCCTAAACCCGAAAATCCTGAAACCTTGCAACAGTGTACCCCTTTAGGCTTTAACCCTGAATTCCTAAACCCTAAATATCAGGAACCTTGCAACCCCAAACCCCCGAACCCCAAAAACCCTGAACTCGAACAGCTCTCATCACAGCCTCGTGCACGCAGCCCTGGCTGCAGAGGCCACGGATCAGCGACACGAAGCTTCGGGCACCCGGGGCGGAACCTTGCAAGGTGGAGTTCTTGGGCCAGGGTTTAGGGTTCAGGGTTTAGGGGCTTAGGGCTTAGGGTTTAGGGTTCTTGGGCTTAGGGTTTAGGGGCCTTAGTAACAAGACTGAGGTTCCGGTAAAGGGTTCTGTGATGGTCACTACTATAACGGCTCTATGCTAAAGGGGGTCCGAGGAATGAGAAATGGCTGTCCAGGACTCGTGTACTTGAGAATCTTGGGGGAGACTATGAACCTAACACCGACAAAACTGCATGGGAGTTTCCGAAAATAGGGGACCCTAATCTAGTACCCCAAAATAGTAGGATCCTTATTGTAAGGACCCCATAATAAGGTACCCCTAATTTTCGAGAACTACCCGTATGTCTGTGTCTACCTGGAACCTGGAGCCCACCAGCATTGTCCCACACTCAGGCAGAAGCTGCAAAAATCCTACTGTAAACCATAAAACCCCCCCCAAAACCCCCACAGCAGAAAAGATCACGCCTTCCATCGCTGCTCGCTGAAAGCAGGCGACGGCCTCAACGCTATTCTACCTTAACCCTGAAGAACCTACCGTTTTGAGGACTTATATAAGGAAATCATAACATAGGGAGCCGTAAAAACGTAGGTTATTCAGGGTTAAAGTAGGGCTTGCGGCTCCAGGGTCGAGAGTTCAGGGCGGGCTGAGAGGCTTCAGGGTACAGAAGACACCCTGTGATACGGAAAAACCCTAAACCCTAAACCCCCAAACTAAACCCCCTAACTAAACCCTAAACCCTAAACCCTGGAACAATACCAGTCGCGTGTCAAAGCCGTCCGACTGATTCGCCGGTCCTTGAAACCCTCAACGTCGAACTTGAAACTATGCCAAAGACTTAGAGACAACAAGGCAGCGTTGAAAGAACCCGTTGAACCATCCTGGGTTGCTTCCCCCGTTGCTCTCCTCAACGCTGGACCCTCAAAGTACCCTTGTAGTACCCATATAGTACCCTTATAGTACCCTTAGAGTAATCTTGCGGCACTGCTCTTCTCTACCCTGCCTTCTCCATTTTGCCCGCCCGGGCACATGCGGCGATAAAGAGGCGCAGGGTCCGCTGGTCGACCTGCCCACCAGCACCTCGGTCTCAGGAACCCACAAACCCCCAACGACGGCGGCACGGTTTTAGACATTAAGGGTTTAGGGTTTTAGGGTTTAGGGTTTAGGGTTGAAGGGTTTAGGACGTTTGGGAGTTTAAGGGTGTACATGGCTTCGTACTCGAGTTTTCGGGGAAAAGCCACTTAGAGCTCTCGCCCGGACCTCTGGAGCTTCCAGAGACCCAATCACTGTCAGCAGTGCCCAAACACGTCCAAGAAAACTCGTAGTAATCCCCAATATACAGTAACTCTCCTCATAGAACCCAGATTAAGAACTGCACTCATCTTTATCGTAAACCGAATAGTAAGCCTCATAAACCCTTACGGCGCCTTACACCAAATCAATGATTCTGGATACTACAGGGGCCTATATAATTACCTGTACTATTTGGGGGGGTTCCACATGATATTTACAGTATAATGGGCCCCAAACCCTGGTCTAAACTATTAAGGCCCCGAAATCATAGAGCCTTGAAAGTATCCCGTATAGTATCCCTTATAGGCCCCTTCGAAGGCACCCTATTCTAATCATTAAGGCCCGTATAGTAACCCGATGCTTGGCCGGGACTCCCACTGCGCACAGCCTCGATACAGTTTCCAGCGCCCTTGATGTCCTGACCGCGACTCTTTGTGGATTTAGGGGAGGGTCTATAAGGTTTATAGGGTTTAGGGATTAGGGTTTAGGTCCAGCTTAGGGCCTTGATGTCCTGACCGCAACTCTTTGCGCATGTAAAGGAGGTTTGGGGTTTAGGGAAGAGGGTCTATAAGGTTTATGGCCGCCGTAAAATCAGGGTCCAGGATTCAGGTCCAGTTTAGGGTCCTTGATTCTGCGTCGTCCCTTTCGAGGGAGTCGCAAGGGGTTCTTACTCTCTTTTCAAAGCCCAGACGCCCTAAACCCTAAACTTCCATAAACCCCGTAAACGTTCTTAGAGGACCAGGGGACTTAGTAAGTAGGGTTATAAGTAAGGTAACCATAGTTATATCTACTTATAACCTTAATTGTGGTACTTATAACTCTACTCACTGAGTCCCATGATCCTCTAAGTTCAACCTTGAGCCCGAAAAAGCCTTGACGAAATGCTATTCTGAACCTCGTTCATCCCAGAGGGCCCATATAGAAGGCACCAATCCAAAACCGCATATGGCAACTCCTACTCACTCCCCTTTGACCCGTCCTAAGCTGTAGTTGAAATCCAGTCCCCCCCCCAGGTTTTTTGAAAAACCTATAAATCCAGTCCCCCCCCTCAAGAAAAAAAACTGAAGAACCTCATCCCTGGTGAAGGCCTCTTGCTAGGCCCCAGCCCTGCTCCGAAAAAAGCACCTTCATCCGTCTCTTTGGGGCTGTTCCTGGCGTTCCCGGCGTTGTCTCTCCAGTTGAAATAAGCCTAAACCCGCGACTACTTAAACTAAAGCTTCGACTGTAAACTCTGCAAACTCTCAAATCCTGAACCTCAAACCCTAAACCCCCCACGAAACCCGCTACTGTCTTTCCAACTCCCAGGAGCTGGGGTTTCGAGGGCAACCCCGAAAACCGTAAAACCCAGAAAGCCACGCAAAATGTCACTAAACCCTAAACCCTAAAAGTCAGAAGATGAAGAGCCGAAGCCCTGAAATGCACGGGAAAGCAGCGCAAAACCTGAAACGGGACAGGCCCGGAGCTCTGCTGAACGGGGGGGGGTCGCAAAGATTTACTAAAATGCACGGCAAAACCCTATTGATAATTAATACTTAATAATAACAACTAATACTAATAATAACTTATAGTAATAATAAAAATAATAATAAGAATAATAATCATGATATTGTGACTATTAACGCCCCCTAGATTATCAGTCACCCTTGTAGAAGCCTATGCCAGAGCTGCAGGAACAGCCTTCAAAGCATTCAAGCCCCGAGACTCACAAGCTTCCTGGCGACGGGCCCGTTCCCGGGCGAGGGCGAGGTGATAAAGCCTGGGCTCACCCTACATCCTAAACCTGGGCCCTAAACCCTACATCCTAAACCTCGGACCTGAACCCTAAACCTGGGCGACTTTGCGATTGCGGTCTTCCGGGGGTCTTGGGGGTTCAGGGCTTAGAGGTTCAGGGCTTAGGGGCTTCGGGTCGAGGGCCCTGGGTTTGAGGTTTGGGCTTTGAGTTTAGGATTTACGGCTTCATGGGTTGAGGAGTTTAGGAGTTCATGGTCAAGGGGTTTCCCTGTGCTGGAGTGTCATTGCGGGCCAGCAATGTAGCATTGAAGGATTAAGCCGTAAGCCCTAAGCCCTAAGCCCTAAACCCTAAACCCTGTCTTCAAGGCTTCGTTTGCTTTGCTTACGTCGGTTCTTCTCGATGGAAGGCTTCGACGGCCCGGGGTGTTCGCAAGCTCAGCCCCGCCCGCGGGGAGTAGGCAGTTCGGTCAGCCTAGGTAAATAGGGGACCCTAACATAGTACCCTAAACAGCAAACCCGAAGCGTCCATTTGTGTCTTCGAGACCCCAGCCCAGCCCCGAGCTTCGGAGCGGATTTAACGAAAGCCCGAAAGGGCTTAGGCCGGCTTAGGGTATCGGGGTCTGGGGGTCCGGGGGGAGACTTATGTTTAGAACTTTGGGGTTTAGGGTTTAGGCCTTAGGGTCTAGAACTTTAGGCTTTGAGTATGAGCATGTAAGGCTTTGACAGAATTTCGCCGTAAGGGTTTAGCAGTGTGGGTTTCAGGGCTTGCAGAGGTGGCATTTGCGGGTGGCAAAAGGGGCTGTGTTTCGGGCTTCGACCTTCAGCCACACGTTTATGGTTTTGCGTCCAAAGAACTGCTGCTGTCTGTCCCAAGGCTCGGGGTTTGGGGCTTAGGGTTTTAATTAAGGCTTAGTTTAGGGTTTAGGGTGTAGGGTTTCAGCTTTAAGGTTTAAGGTTTAGAGTTTAGGTTTTAAGGTTGAGGGTTTAGGCATGGGAATTGATTTGGCCCGATCCCTTTTCTGGCAGCCGGGGAGCTGTCCAGGAACATCCAAGTTGCCTCGCCAGGCATAGCGGCACTTCGACACGGACTGTATACTGTATACTCCAAGCTTTAGGTGGTCGTGAGAAATCGGGACTTGGGGAGTCTTGCTTGCGGCAGTGGGGTGGAGGTGGCGCTGGTTCTCATGGTGTTGATGGCGGTGGCGGCGAGGGCAGCGGGGGCGATGTCGGCGGCGGCCTGGGTGGTGGTGGTGATGGTGTCGGTGGTGGTGGAAACTGACCCTAAACCTCAAAATCCTAAATCCAAAACCGAACGCCTCTTCTTAACACGCATACCGCATACCCAGAATCTCCACTACCCCAGAAACAACCCAATACGAGGCTTTCGTACAACTCAGGCTGCTTAGGGGACCGATATTATGAACATACAAACCCCTAAGCCCGAACATCCCCTCAACCTCCCTAAACCGGTTCAAGGTTTAAGGTCTAGGGGTTAGGGGGCACTAAACCCCCAACCTTAAATCCCCAACTCTGAATCCAGAATTCCCGTCTCGGGCGGCCTGGAAAGCTTTTGTCATTAACGGAATCGTTGAAACAATCCTGGCAGAAGGCAACGGGGCGCAAGCTTGGGGCTTACGGTTTAGAGCTTAGGATTTAGGGTATAGGGTTTAGGGGTTTAGGGGTTTAGAGGTTTAGGGGTTTAGGGGTTTAGGGGTTTAGGGGTTTAGGGTTTATCGGTTTATCGGTTTAGGGTTCAGGGGTTGTTGTCCAACGGTCCTGGTCCGTCTGCACCTTGGGTTCAGGTTTTAAGGTGGAGGGTGTTGGGTTTCAGACATGTTTACCTTTGGTTAGTAGGGAATGGAGGAATGGGGTACAATTATAACTACTATCACTTTCATTCGTCGATTTCCCACTAACCAAAGGTAAGAAAACCCTAAACTCTTAACCCTCATAGATCCCTTAATGGAACCCCTACCAGGGACCCTGGTATACCATTCTTCGATTCCCCACTAAGGTAAAAGCCAGAAAGTTGGAACATGATTATCCTAACCCCTCTATGGTAAATTACAGGGTATCCTACCATGAAACCCTATTCCAACTTTCTGGAGTTCCCTTTAACCCATGGTAAGAAATGTTGGGCTTCGGGTCTGGGACGTTCTGCTCTTTTCTTCAGAAGCTCGGGGTGGGGTCTCGGGGACTATGGGGACCTTGATGATTAGAATCTGGGTGCTGCCCCCATTCAGTAGCAGTTGAATAATATTCATTATATAGATATATTAGGGCCTTAGTAATCTTAATAGTAGCCCTATTCTACTTCTAGGCTGTGACTGTACGGGGACCTTGATGATTAGAATAGGATTTGGGGGAAGGGGCTTAGGGCTTGGGGTTAGTTGCAAAGATCAGAGGGAGATTCAAGCGTTGAAGAATAGGAACAGCAGTGAAAAACAAACTATTACCAGCGGCCCGTCAATGAACCTTGCAACTTCATCTGTGTGCCGCAAGCCCGGCGTCCAGCAAGTAGGGGCGCTCTGCATCTAAATCCAAACCTGAGCCCAAGGATCTAAACCCGAAAATCCTATGCCCGCAGCCCTAAAAGCGCTAGACTCCATACCCAAGATCTGAAAACGATCGGCCAAGTCTGTGATGCCCTGAACCAAGGATCTGCAGTCCGTCCGAAAGCAACAAGTCCCTGCACCCAGCCTGTCGTTTCATGTCCTCCAAACAATGGGATGACCTGAGTTTTGTTTCGCAGTGTGGAATGCAGGCAGTTTAGGCTGCGGGTTTTTTGAGGACCTGTCCCACGGCATAGGTAGACAGCGCCAGAGAGCTTCGGTATCGGGTTCAGGGTTTAGGCTCGGGCTAAGGCTCGGGCTTGAGCCGTTCAACTAGACCCTAAACTCGAAGCCCTCAACCCTAAACCCTCTGTTCTAAAACCCTACATAAACCCTGAACCTCAAATCCTGGACAAATCCTAAACCCTCTGTTCTAAAACCCTAAATAAGCCCTTTAACCTTAAATCCATGGCTTAAAGTGTATAGAGCTTCGTATTTTGGTTTAAGCTAGATTCCTTATTTCAGGGGTATTGGAGCCCCCTAAACCCTAAACCCTATCGATCCCTTATAGATCCCTTACAGGAACCCTAGGTATTCCTTAAATAAGGGGTATTGGGCCCTCTGGGAACCCTTGGCTGATGGTACTGAGGATCAGAGCCCCAGGGCCGACCATGCTGATATGGGAAGGGGTATGTTAGGGTTCCTTTAAAGGGATACTATAAGGGTTCCTTTAAAGGGATACTATAAGGGTTCCTATAATAATGGTTTAGAGTTTCCGAAAATGAGGGGTACCGTATTTGAGGTCTTGTTATAATAGGGATCTTAATATTTGGGGTACTATATTAGGGTCCCCTATTTTCGGAAACTTCCAGATCAGGGTCCTTAACAAGCAGCATACCGTAATACCGTTAATTACGGGGAAGGGCTACTACATGCTGTAGCGCAGGGGTCTTTATCATTACACTGAGGTTCTGTGGCTCCTTGCATAAAAGGCTCCATAAGGGCTACGATAAGGGGGTAGTACTAGGGCCTTCATAGTCAGAATAAGGTCTTGGGGCTCCTTTATAGTATACTTATAGTTAGAGTCAGGAACCCTAAAGAATAATATGCGTAATGAATTCTTGGGGCCTTCATAGTTAGAATAGGGTTTGGGAGTTCCTTTTTAGCATAGTTATGGTATGGACCCCTAAAAAACGAATTGTGAACTAACTCTTGGGGCTTCCTTAGTGTTCTGAGGTCACTGCACTTCGCTCTTCCCCGGTGGTCCGAGGCCAAAATCTGCGGCAAGATTGCGGGAGGAATCTCACGGCAAGAGCCAGGGTTGCGGGTTTAGCCTTTTTGGGGTCTAGGCTTTGGAGTTTAGGGTTTAGGGTGCAGCGTGAAGGTCTTAAGGCAAGCGAAAGTGCTCGAAACACAACTCCCGCGAGATCTACGCACGGTCACAGGATGTCACATGTGTCAGCACATATCAGCACCCTCTCTCCCAGTGCCTTCATCGAAGGATGATATGGAGGGCACAGACCTTGGAGCACTGTCAGGATGCTGCCTCTCATGCAGCTAGAGTGAGCTAGAGCCAGAGCTTGAAATTTGGAGGATCATCCTTCTGACCTGGACCTTTCGACCGCCGACAGGACCACCTCCACAGCACCACCCAGGACCATTACCAAGACCGCGATGAAGACCGTGACGGGTTGCCACCACCAGCACCACGCGAACTGAGACCGAGACCAAAGCTGTGGCCACAACCATGGCCATGACCAGCACACATCGACCACACGTCAACACCACCACCACTCTGCATCGTCATCTCACAATCCGCCATCGCCACGCTCATCACCATCATCTCACGTCCCACAATGAGCATGGAAAGCAAACAGCCTCAGTCCAATGAGCAACTGCCGGAGCCCACCTTTCCCGTGCCTTGTTCGACGTAGCCACCTTCGCGACTTGCTCGCAGTGTAGATGACGGCGTAATTCTGTGGGGGGGTTCTTAATGCTACCCGTAGTCTTCCGTTGCCTGCACATGACATCCCAAGTGAGTTACTTGAATCCATCCATCACACTCGATGCATTTTCCGCAGAACCTGACATGTCTTTGATTTTAATGCTGGCGGCCCTGCATCAGGCCTTTGGACTTGAATCATCGTCAGCTTTGGTCAGAGACAAGTCCTCACGACTCATGCTTTGGGGGCGGAGTGGCGTTGCCGTACTGGTTTTCTAGGCGCTAAATCCTAAACCCTAATCTCAAGCAAGGTTGCGGGATGCAGGCAACAGAGAAACGTTGAGCCCAGAGACCCAAAGTGCGAGTTTCAGAAAACAGAAGACACTAACAAAGACCCTTCATATTCGGAGTCTGACGGAAAGGATCCGACATCAGGGCCCCCACGCGATACACAAAACCTAAACTAGCCTGGAAGACTATATTGTCATCCCTGAACCCTACTAAACCCCCCTAAAAAACTCCAAGCCTAAGCCCTAGCGCCCCAAAACGCTGAAGCTCTAAAACCCTGAAAGTCTGAGACCTGAAAGGCTAAACCCACAGCCCCCAATCCCCCGACACACTAAACCCAAAGACCTTAGAGCTTTGGGTTTAGAGTTTTTGTTTCGGGGCTGGGGCTTTAAAGGCCTGGAAAGCTTGAAACCCTCCACTTTAAAGCCCGGAAACCCCAAGCCTCAAAGCCCTAAAGTCCTATCACCGCAGATCACTCAAACCAAAACTGTAGGGGCATCCATAATTTCGATAGGGTTTTGGGGCATGGAGTATGCTGTGCCTTAAACCCTAAACCCTAAACCCAAATGGTATAGCTACAACCAGGAGACCTCAGGATGAGTATCGTTTGGGACCCCTGACCCCTGAGACCATCAGGCCGTAAAACCATGCACCCTAAAGCCGGCAAACCCTAAACCCTAAACCCTGAACCCTAAACCCTAAACCCTAAACCCTAAACCGTAAACCCTGCACCCTGACAGCCTAACGGCCCCCAAAAAAAATGCGAAGCAGCGAAACGCTACGCTGATGCACTACACAAAAACTCTGACCCTCTCCTGTGACTGCGCATCCCCAGAGAGCTTCAGCTCGTTCAAGCCTGCGGCAGAGCGCTGTATGAGTTTGGGAGGTCAGAGGTTCAGTGCTCCAAACTGGTACCTTTTGTACTTCGAAAAGGGTCTTGGAGTGCATGAAAGTTGTATGTGTGGATATATATATATATATATATATATATAACTGTATAGGCACATATAAATATATATACAGATTTATATGTGTATATATGTATATTTATGTATATTTATGTATATATGTTGTATATATGTATATATGTATATATGTATATATGTATATATGTATATATGTATATATATATATATATACATATATATAAAGACTACAAGGGGGCATTCTTTCAAAAAGAATCTAAAGCCGCAAACACAAAAACACGACGACGGGCATAAGCAACTTCAGCGTTTGGAATCTTATGAGAACCTTGACCTGATACACATGATGGGGCCACACGTCTAAACCCGCGTCGCTATGTTAAATTATACCGTACTATGCTCTAATATAGTATGCTATGTTACATTTTGTTCTACTCCATCTGAATACTAGAGTTTTCATGTACTGTGTTGTGCTTTCACATAATGTACTACCTTACGAATATACTGCAATCGTGACGTGACTAGACCCACCAAGCCCGAAGCTTTGAAGAACTCGTACACCGTAAACGAAGTAAGGCCGAATCAAAGATCCTTTCTGGACCCTCAGCACTAACCTACCATTAGTTGGCGAGAACCAGACCCGAACTCAGATGTCAAGCCCGGAAGCCATTTACATCTGCCCGCACTAACAAGAACTACAATGGACCTTCCAGTCTCGAGGATGGCTGTCAGTACCCACGACAGAGTTAACCCCACTTAAAGCTCGCAGATTGCACATTAAATCCTGAACCCCGAACCTTAAACCCCCAAATCCAAAACCCTGAAACCCTAAACCCAATACCCAAAATCCTGAATACATCCCACCACTGTAGATCCCAAACCTCAAACCCCAAACCCTAAAAAAGCCTAAAAACTTGCACCCCAAGCGTTAACCTCCTATTCCTACAACCCTCAACCCCGGGACCCTAAAACGCCCAACCCTTAAAGCCTCAACCACAGCGTGGCCCTACCTTAACACACCAAAACCTACGTTTTTGCAGGTTCTTATTACAAGTTACAATAAGAACATGCAAAAAAGTAGGTTTTCGTAGGTTAAGGTAATTATAAGCCCCAATATGGAATTAGTAAGCGCCCTACCAAAAACGTAGGGTCTGGTGGGTTAAGGTAGCGGCCTAGAGGAATGCGCTGCTCGCCCGTGGAGGCTGCTCGTCGGACGGGGACGCCAAGGAGCCTTCGCTTCAATGTACGGTTCCTCTAAAGGGGCTCTACATTAGGGTTCCTTTAAAGGGCTCCTTTAGTAGCTACTATTATAACGGATAGTGTAAGGGCTCTATGATATAGGTTTAAGGCTTCTTTTTCACTTTAGGGTTTGGGGTTTAGGGGTTTAGGGGTTTAGGGGTTTAGGGTTTAGGTTTAGGGTTTAGGGCTCTGTAATGTAGGGGCCTCAAGACTATTGGAATCGGGTTCCTTTAAGGGCTCTATCAGGGCTAGGGTGTAGGGGTCTCAAGGAGCCTTCTCTTTAGGGCGTCTTTTTCACTTTAGGGTTTAGGGGTTAGGGGTTTAGGGTTCTACAATAACAGCTTCGGGGTTTAGGGCTTGGGGGTTTTAGAGTCTGGGGTTCGGGAGGCAGGATTTAACGGTTTAGGGGTTGTAGGGTATCAGGGTTAGGCTTTTCGGGTTTCGGTGCTGGGGGGCTTTCGGGTTTGGGGCGTTGAGGTCATGTTTCCTGATGGGGGCATCCACAGGTGAAGTCGGCTGGATCAGGCACAGACTGCTTCATGGACTACTTGGAGGATCATGGGACTTAGTAAGTAGGGTTATAAGTACGGTAACTATAGTTATGCCTACTTATAACCTTTTTTATGGCACTTATAACCCTACTTACCAAGTCCCATGATCCTCCAAGTAGAGTCAGGGAGCCCTCGTCACTGAGAGATTCGGGCCCTTCATGCCGGAGGCCCCATACAAACCAGTAACACCCACCCGGGCCACGCGCACACACGCACGCATGCAGAGGGCAACGACTTCGGAAAGGATTTCGATCCATCTGTCAGCCTAAACTCGAAACAAATCTGAACCCAAACTAGTCGACTCGTCCAGGGGTCTGAAGCACAAACAGGCAAGTGCGACAGCGACAGCACAGGGCGGAAAAGAAGCCAGCCTGGGCGGATCCAACTTGCAAACAGGGCTTTGATTCATGCTTGGACAAAAACAGGTGTGTTATCATAGCTTACCCCAAAGCGCTGTTCTAATTATACTATTCGGGGTTCCACATTGTAAGTACAGTATCATGTACCCAGAGAATCCTATTCAAATTACGATGATTGTCATTACTAATTGTTGGCATTCCTCAAAACTATTCGCAGTCTTAATCTCAGTCCCAGTTTAAGTCTTATGGTCTTAGTACTATTACCACATCTATCACGGTTACTATGATTACTATTCCTATTTAAACTGCTTATCCAGTCATGCCTGTAATGCTTCTCAAAGGTCGCGCAACAATGCCAGTGAAAGCGGTGGTTTAGAGCTTAGGGTCGGAGCTTTCCTCCATTGTCCAGCATCCTAGGGCAAAGGTTAGCCTTTGGGAAGATATACGGATGTATAGTACTGCAGAAAGGTTCAAGGTTGCTTAGTCTACTACTGAAATCATTGCAGCATGTAGAGGCAGCATGAGAAGCCGTGATACGGCTCCAGCAAGAGCGAGGACCCAAGATTTGTGTCAAGACGACACCTGTACTTCCACTATCCTATGGAGGGGTCCCCAAGCTCGAAAGCGACTTGGGATGCTTAGCCAGGCACCAAGTACAAATGCAAGACCAAGAACCACCTCGCAGGGGGTTGCATCTTTGTCTGCCAAGGGAGAGTCTTTATAAAATCCGGCGATGTGATGCATCGGATCAGGGGCTCCAACCAGACACTTATGCAACAGACAACTTGCATCTTGCGCTGGTTAGAGAACTACCCATATAGTATCCTTATAGGAACCCTATAGAAACTCTGACGCATCCCTCTAAGGAACCCTATTCTCTGCTTTGGCCCCGCAGGCCTTACGCTTACCGGACGTGAAAACAATTATAGTTTTGGGGCCCTTGTACGCATGTATGAAGAGGTACCTCTGTAGGAACCATCAGGGAATGTATAAAGTTGAAGTGACGTCTAGTGAATCCAGTTCTGGAGGATAGAAGTGCAATCAGGATTCGAAAAGGGACACAGGGCGATATTAAGCCAGAACTACAGCTGGAAATCGTACGGCATAACATCAATTTGTTTTGCCCTTGAATAAGCTCGCTTCAAGGACTCTGCAGGCCCGGCTCAAACTTCAAATCTGACAAACCTAAAACTCTGCCCAAACCCCCAAACCCTAAACCTGGGAGGAAAAAAAGCTGGCGCTGCTGCTGCAAAATCGATTCCCCCACCCTCGCTGCTGTGACTAGTTGGACCGAGATAAACCCCAAACCGTACACCTTTAAACCCCAAACCCTAAACCCCAAACCCCAACCAAACCCTAAACTCTAAACCCCAAACACTAAAACCCTAAACCCCAAACCCCAAACCCCAACCAAACCCTAAACCCCGAACCCAAAACCTTAAACCCTAAACCCCAAACCCCAACGGATCGCACCATCTCCTGCATACCCACGAGGAAGTCGACGAATCCTTAGAGGCTTCGGTTAAAGCTAGATAGACTTACTTAGAGGATCAGGGTAAGGGTTCCTTTAAAGGACCTGTAGGGCTGTAGGGGTACTATAAGGGTTTAGGGTTTAGGGTCTACTTAGAGGAGCAGGACTTAGCAAGGAGGATTCTAGGAACCTTAATTGGGGTTATAAGCAGACATAACTCAGTCCTATGATCCTGTAAGTAGACTGAGCCCCTACAATCTCTGAGCCGCATGCTCTCCACCCACCTCCACGTCGACCCAAACACTCCAAAACCAATGAAACAGGTCAATAGAAGCATGATGAATTAAAATAGGGGCCTCAATAATTAGAATGGGGCTTGGGCTCCGTTATAGTAGAACTGTAATAAGGAACCCTAAGGAATAATACATTTAGGCCCCTATATTAACAATATTCTTCCTTAGGGCTCCTTATTCACTATCCAGCATCTACCATGCACTGCCTCACCTCCTAAAGCCAAAATTCGTCAATATGGATTCAGGAAGATTACCTTCCCTTTTACCGATTCTTTACCTCACGGGCACGAGCCTACTGAAACCCCAAGCGGATTAATAATTACCCATAATATTTTCGGGGGGCTCCTTATTATCGTTGTAGTACAATGGGCCCCAAAACCTGAATCTAAGTATTAAAGCCCCTGTATTACACAAGTGCAAGTCCCAACTGGGCCACCACACCAGGTTCGCAGACCTCCTCCATGGAACCTCAAACAAGTCGGAAGCTTGGTTTAGGCTGCAGGGTCCAGAGCCCTAAACCCTAAACTCCTAAACCCTAAAGCTATCAACCCTAAACCCTCAAGCCATAAACCCTAAACCCTAAAGCCGTAAAAACCTAAATCCAAAATCCTAAACTTCAGGTTGCAGGAATGCGAATGGAACCTTGCAGGATCAGGCTCGGGAGGCTGTGGTAAGCTTGGGGCCAAAGGCCTTGGGCAAAATACAAGGCCTTCCCAATTGGAAGAGGGTTCCAGAACGGCTGTATGTGGGCTCCAGAGATCTATAGGGATTACTTGGAAGAGGGCTCGATAAGGATTCTAAATGGATCCATAGGGTTTCATAAGCGGGCCTACATTAACGCCAAGCCGACAATATGATTCGTATACTATCAGAGACACCTGAGCCCTATTCGAATTCTGAACACTATTTTCATATATTAATAAAAACCCCTAATGGAACGCAGAACCCCTTTCTAAGATGTGAATATAGATGCCCCAGGTCTTAGCAGGTTTCAGGTGAGCGTTGGATCTCGGATGCAATTTTGGGGTCCGACGGGCCTTGGGGCTTTTCACAAGAACCGCAAGAAGCAAAACATGCAAAGGATTTCGGGTTTAGGGCTTAGCCTAAACCCTGAAGAATGCAGTAGAACAGACAAGGTCCCAAATCCTACTTGTCACAAGAGCTCAGCCCCGGGAGCAGATTTAGTTCAAGGCAGAAGGCATACCGTCCGTAAACCCTAACCTACCGCTAAATCCTGAATCCTAAAGCCTAAACCCCAAACCTGAAACTGTGTAGAGTGCCATGGCCCGACTCCCAAAACCTACACGAGCCCTTAGTGTTTCCGGCTTAGGGTTCAAGGTCAATGACAGTAGTCATTGGGCTTCGCCGTGGGGTCTCAAGAAACCTTGCAAGTATTCTTCTCTGAGACTCCCTAAGCAAGCCTAGCTAGAAGAAAGGAAAATTTAGAACCTCCAACACCTGAGCTCTCCACAGGTATCGGCAGCAGTCATGGCCATCGTGGATTTTTCCTCGGCAAAAGTCAGATGGGCGACTAGAAAAACCCGAAAGCGCCAACACCCCGCCTTATTCTTGCCTGGGTTCCGGAGTAGCTCCTGCATGATACCCTTTTTGCTACTATTTGGTTTCAATAAGGGAAGCTTAAAAGAAAAAGGAAACTACGGGGGAACCTAGTAAGGTTTAAGGCCTTGGGCTCTACGCGAGCAGCCTGAAAGCCCTTGGCTTTAGGTACGGAGCAGGCTTCTTTTGAATCGGGCTTCAACCATTCGTTCCTCAACACAGCTATAAACGATTCGTAAAGCTTGCATTCGGAAGATCAGGGGACTGAGTAAGTCTGGTTGTAAGTAAATGTATCTATAGTTACATCTCCTTATAACCCTATTTAAGGTACTTACAGCCCGACTTACCGAGTCCCATGATCCTTCAAGCATTGAGGGGTCCTTTTACTACAGGAGTGATGTACTCTTTTGGAAATCCCGACAGGTTTGCAGAACTAGTTTCAGAGAATGAAGGACCCTCGTATTCGGGCCCTATGGCCCTCAAATACACGGAGCCCCGAAACAAGCTAACTTTACTACTTGGAGGATCATGGAACTTAGTAAGTAGGGTTATAAGTTTCTTAATTAAGGTTATATGTACATATAACTGTAGTTACCTTACTTATAGCTAAGTCCGCTGATCCTTTACGTGCCTCTCCCATGATTCTTCATCAGGCCGAGTCTCAAAGCGTAAACTGATCAGACGAGATGAGTTGAGCGGAGATGCGGGCACACCTCAGCCAGACCACGCGGTTGCAACCCGGGGTTGAAATCCCGAACCCAGACCCGTCAACGCGTTGCCTAAACCCTAAAGGTAGCGCTTTAGGACACAGGGCTGGCAGTGTTTTACAATACATAGAAGCAGCAGAGAGGACCTTAGAGTAAGGAAGCGGAAGTTCCGCCTACATGTTTCCCACACTAGATTTGGGAGTCTAGGGTTTTGGGTTCCACGTGTTTAAGATATAGACTCGACCATACAGGGTCCTTCTTCTGCTGACCACCTACGGCATTATATCCCTTACACGTACAGCTCGGAAGCCTTGGGCAGGGAGGACCACTGGACCAGGCTTCGGGATCAGGGCATGATCTAGGTTCCTCAGAAGCCCCGCAACAAAAGGGTACCCTTTTTCCTACTAACTGGTTTAATAAAGGAACCCCAAAACAGAAAGTGTAAAAGGGTACTACTGGGGGACCTAGCTCTTGAGAAGGACAGGGATGCTACAACACGATTCAACCCCAGACAGCCTACTAAGAACCCTAGACCCCTATAGTCTAACCCTTATTGTACACCTTAAAGGAACCCTTATCGTAACCCTGAAAGGAACCCTATTCCCTGTTAACGAAACCCTGAAGCCTTAGCCTCCGGAAGGGGGCCCCCAAAGCTCTGAGCCCTACATCCCGAAACCCTAAAACCAAAAATCCCTGAAGCCAAGGGTTTAGGGTTAGGGTTTAGGGTTAGGGTTTAGGGGTTTAGGGTTTAGGGGTTTAGGGTTTAGGGGTCTGAGGTTCAGGGTTTAGGCATAAACCCCTAAGCGTTTAAACCCGAGAGCAAAAAGAATCCATGAAGACCCAACCTCCCTGAACACTGTATCACTGTACCCAAGAAGCCCTAAACTGATCCCCATCGAACGCCTCGACTTGGCCCGTTAAAACCCGCAAGAGTAACATTGGGTCACCTTTTGAAATTGTTAGCAGATTATCGTAGGCTACCATAGTATATTCTAGTACATTATATCAGAATTGGTCGCGCGCGGATTCCTTCAACTTTTCGCCGATTCTTCCGTCAACCACTGCCCGCGGATTCTGTCAACCCGGAAACGCGGATGCCTTCAACCTCAAAACCTGATTCCTTCAACCTCAGAACCCAGATTCATTCAACCATGTCCAAGGGAATGATTCCTTCAACCCAAAGAACTGCTTCGTTCAACCCATACACAACCTGATTCTTTCAACCCCAGCACGCAGATTCACTCAACCATGCCTGATTCTTTCAACCCCAGCACGGAGATTCACTCAACCATGGCCCCCGGAATGATTCCTTCAACCCAAACAACTGCTTCGTTCAACCCATACGGAAAGAGTCGCTCCAACTACAGACACGCGTGCTACCGCAACCACGAGTACTCACTCAACCCTACCCGGGGGGGCGGAGTTGACGGAATCAGCACAGTATGCGTTGATGGAATCGGGCGATGGGGGTTGACAGAATCGGCAATATCCGGGTTGAGGGAAGCGGGCGATGGGGGTTGAAAGAATCGGCACATCTGAGTTGAGGGAAGCGGGGAACATGGTTGAAGGAAGCGCAGTTGACGGAATCTTGGTTGACGGAACCGCGCGAAGTTGAGGAATAAGGCCTGTACCTATCAGAATTCATGGATCACTTGCATGATGGGCAAGACCCTCGAAGGGTTTGGGACAAGCGTTTAAGGTTTTGGGCTCTCAGGGCTTTGAAAGCTTGAGATCCAGCCTGAGCCTGCACCCGTTGAAATCTGGGCAGCGCCCTGTAACTGCTTACAGGTGGAACATGTAGGAGTTTCCGAAAACAGGGGAACCTAATATAGTACCCTAAAGATCCTTATTCTAAGGACCCCCAAAATAAGGTACCCCTAATTTTCAGAAACTCCCATGTGCACTTGGAACTTAGGGTTTAACGTTTAGGCTGGTCCCTCACACCCCATACACTGCAGTCTGCACCAACACTACGGGAAAACCTTTCCTTTGGTTAGTAGGGAATGGAGGACCACTATTACTACCATTCTTCCATTCCCTACTAATCAATGATAAGAAACACGGGGCTCCAGGGGCTGGGAGCCGTGCACAGAGGCAGCACGCACCTTGGCGGATGGGGCAGAGAGCCGAGCTCAGGGTCTTTAGAGTTGACTTTGAGTTGCGGGCTTTTAAGGTTTTACGCTTTTTTTTAAAGTTTTAGGGTTTAGGGCTTAGGGCCTTAGGGGTTTCGAGTTTACATTCTGAACCACAAATCTTAAGCGACCTATCGTCGTCGGTTTCCTTATCTACTTGCACCACGGCTCTCCCGAAGGTTCTCTCTGCACGAAACGTCCCGACAGCACCATTGTAGTACCTGTATATCTAGACTCCAGCCCAATTCGGAACCCTCATATTATGTAGGACGCTTGTCGTGCCCTAAAAACCCAAACCCTTTTTATCCCAAAGCCTTACTCAACGGCCTTCCTCCTGGTGCTTCCTTCGCGTCTCTGAGGTCCGGGCTTCTCCACTAAATTCCTGGGAGCAGGTCTGTCAATTTGGATGTAGGAGGGGCCTTACACATCAGACTAGGTTCCCGAACGTTCCGGCGGACATTGTAATTAGTATAGTGTATAAGGCCTAGGACCTAATGAGTGATGGAACTTCTGGTTGTTCAGGCTTCTGCATTTGCTGGGGAGCAGCATATGCCACGTCAGCCTGTATGCTGGAGGATGCAACTTGCAGGCCCTGCATCAGCTGCAACAGGAACTGTAGCAGATACTTCTGCAACCAGAGTCGGTCAATATAATAGCAGACAGTGGCTGGATAGCTTTAGCAACCCTCACACTAAATCCCAAAACCCTCTAATCCACCCCAAAACCTCCTAAATGTCCTAAGCCCTAAAAAACCTAAATGTGCTAAACCCTATGCTACAGGGAGCTGCGACCAAGGGGCAATAGACAAATGTGGCAGGCATATACTGGTCAGATCGCGGAGTCAATGCTGAGAAGAGCTTGGGCCCAAGCAACACGCGCGAAGCAACCATACAGTGGCCTATAGTATAATGGGCCCCAAAACCCTATTCTAAGTATTAAGGCCCCTATATTAGGGTCCGCTGCAGGGCTTTATAGTAAGGTTCTTCAGGGCTTCATGGTCATAGGGGCCTTCATAGTTAGAACAGGCCTGTGGGGCATATTGTAGACGAACTGCCTTTTATAAGGTTCTACAGGGCTTCATGTAGGTAGGGCGCCGCATAGTTAGATGAGGCTTGTGGGGTATATTGTAAACGAACTGCAAAAAGGCCTCGACGGAGAGACTGTTCTTAATTGCTCAGGCATCTACAGCACCATGAAGCCGGCTTTCTGGGGTGCAACTGGGGCTGCAAAAGCATCTTCGAGTAAAGCTGCCAGAAGTATTGCCCAGAAATATTCTAGCGAAGATTGTTGAGACAACACCAAATGCGGCACCGGAATGACCTGGGAAACATGCCACATGCTTCCTTTCGTCATCCGCACGATGTCGAGCTGATTGCTTAGTCATCAAAGCATAGGGACCTGTTCAGCATGGCATGCTGATGGCTGCTTCTGTCAGGTGAGAAGCGGTGAGAAGCTTTTATCAATTATAGAGCTGCAGCACTGCTGTTCAGCAGAGCTCTGAATCTTGGAGGACAAAACGTGTTATCTTGCCACCCACGTCACAACAACAGATCTTTACTGCTTGACCTCGGGCGCATACCTCTGACCGCCACAGCCGGACCTGTTCCAAACAATGACTTCCTGGACCTACTTCAAGCCTTGTGATCATGCTCTTAAGTCTTTTGCATGCTCGAAAGCCGCACCTTTGCTCTACTGGTGCCGGGTTTACACGATGTTGAAACTTGATCTTATTTTTCACTCATTGCCACACTATGTTTTAAAAGCCGACATCCAACGACCATCGAGAGAGCATAGCCCTCATTTCTGGCCAGGCGGTGCGTCCTTGGTCGTCTTGCGCCCAGCACCCTCCTCGATCATCACGAAGTCGGACTCCTCTTTGCAGGTTGTCTTAAGTCGGGCCATCATGGACCAAAAGATGTCACTTGGCCTCAGATGCCTTGCACTGACACTACCAGGCCCCTCGCGATTTAGGGAAGTTTGGCAGCCGCCACCGTGCAGCTCAATACAACCGCCAAAACAACGAGGCAACGGAGCTGCCGCCTCCAGCGTGGACTCTGGCAGAATCAGCTTGTTCGACTTTGCAATCTCCGAGATGAGCAATGCAGACTGCTTTGGTGTCCTATCACGGCTGGAAAGCAAAGCTACAAGCTGCCGGCTCTTCCTGCGCCTACATAGGCTTTACGTGTTTGCGAAGAGCCTTGAGTCTCTCTAGCCTGGATGCCAAGCCCTCAAACCAGTGCTGAAGCCCTAATGTAGGGGCCTTAATAATTAGAATAGGGTTTGGGGGTTCGTTATTATAATTTTAGTATATTATACCCACAAATCCTATTCCAGTCATCAAGGCCCTACATTACACCCTTAACCCTAAGCCAGAAACCGTAACACCCAATTCCTTCAAGGCTCAGTCAAACCCACTCCTCGCATTGCAAAGTGACTACGGAGAATGTCCCGCCTCTTTTGCGTCTCGTAATCGATGTGCACCATCCCAAACCGCTTGGAGTACCTCATGCTAAAGCAGAAAAGGAAGAGCAGCATAAGTATGAACATGGATCGCGATTACCCTAAACCCTAAACCCTAAACCCTAAACCCTAAACCCTAAACCGAAGCTTGCGCTCAGTCTTGCCCTGGGTAAGAGTCTTATAAGAGCATGGCCCCTTTCCCGTCGGAAGGTCATGGAGTTGTGATTTGCGCTGGCGTGTTGTGACAAGGCCGCAAGGCATTCGGAGTTAAAGTTTAGGGTTTAGGGTTCAGGGGTTGAGGGGTTTAGGGTTTAGGTCAGGTCTTGCAGTGCAACGACCTCAGGCATCGATCAACACCGAATTTTGATCTGCATCTCCATAATTACCAACTGGCATCTACACCTGTGAACATTTGAAACATCTATGTAACTCCACGCCTCAGCACCCAATGCAAAATCCCCAACCGTGTTTTGCGAAACTTATCTTTGACCCGGGGCACCCGAGAGCCCACTCGAAGTTGTCCATCAGGGACCAGGCAAAGTAGCCTCGCACCTGGGCTTCCGCCGGGCTTTTCGGGCGTGAATAAGGCTCACCACCTGTATGAGTCGAACTGCCGGGCAAACCCAAGTAATACAGGGGCCTGAGTAACTAAGTTGAATAACTAGTAGCCAGTAACTAACTAGCAACTAACAGAGGATTCGATCATATTTATAGAACAGTCTCCCCCAACGCCCCCTTTTCATCAGTCTGAGCCCCAACATACGGCAGTCACAGGCACATCAGCACCGGCTTTGATCGCCCTGTGCATCTGGGCGATGTACCCTGGAGCAAGAACCCCGGTTTCGGGCTTGATGTTCTGGGGTGGGGGCCTCGAGTTTTGGGATCTGCTTTGAACTTAGCAGCATTCCCTGGGAGTCTTCGACTCTACTGTGCCTAATAAGGGGGGCCTTAGTAATTGGAACAGCTTTTGGGGGGGTATATTATACTATAATCATGATAAGGAACCCCCAAAACCCTATTCTCACTATTAAGGACCCTATATCATAGATCCCTTATAGTAACCCTTCTAGGCCCTTTTAAAAAGGAACCCCCATTCTCGTTACTAAGGCCCCTGTATCAAGTAGTCCTGCAAACTGCTCCCTGCCTTGGTAAAAGTCCACACGGAAGGCATCATACTTCCTGGACTTTTAAGTAACCAGGGATAAAAAGTATAAACTTTCATGTCGTAATGGTTCCTTTAAGAAAAAAGAACTACATAAAGTATGGGACTCCAAAGCCCAGCTTCGCGACTTGGACATCGTCATCCGCGACGGCACAGCCGTTCTCGGTAACCAGGATTCCTCCTCCGGCTTGCTGCGATAAGGCAGGAAAGTAACCAGGCGTCTGCAGCTGGGAATGCTTGTAATATAGGGGCCTTAATGATTAGAACAGGGTTTGTGGACCCATGATATTACAATGATAATAAGGAAACCCGAAATAGTATAGGTACTTATTGACCCCCACAATAGTATTGGTAATTATTTATGCCCCTATAGTAATGTAATGTTTGGTGTGCGGCGTCTGAAGCAAAGAAATCTTCGAAGCTCCTTCCCTCCAAGTGCCTCTGATACAAGGGCCTAGGTAATATTTTGGGGCTCCTTATTATTGGTTATAACTAAACCTCAAAAAGGGTAAGGGCTCCTTGTCAGTTAAGTTATAGCTATACACCTCAAAACCCTATTCCAATTATTAAGGCCCTAAACCTAAACCCTAAAACCCCCCATGTTACCACAAAGGAAGCCCTTCGGATGCCAGCTCTCGGTCGTTGCTTGCAGGATCTTCCAAAGGTTCTTCTTCGGACTGTCGGGTTTAGGGTTTAGGTAGGGGTGGGGGTTTAGGCCCTCGGGGGCCATGAGGTTCTACGATTGTCTGCGAGATATTGAGGATTTTAGGGGTAAGAGTTTAGGGTTAAGAACTTCGGGCGTGGTGTGTAGGGCTGTGTCCTTGAGGCTGGTACTCCTTCTGGATGTACTCGCACATATGTTTCAGGCCCCAGGGCACGACGCCCCAGTCCATGTCAGAGCGACCCCACCTTGACAGCAACAACTTGACTGGGTCGCAAGGTGTCACTGAGGTTCCAGGGTTGTGGGAGTCCTGACTCTCAGGAAACATTACAGAATGTTGAAAGCAGTGGTACACTGGGCTTAGTAAGTGATAGGCATGCTGCAACCCTAAACCCTAAACCTTAAACCCTTACACCCTAAACCCTAAACCTTAAACCCTTAAACCCTAAACCTAAACCCTCAAACCCTTAAACCCTAAACCCTAGACCCTAAACCCTAAACCTTAAGGACTTGAGGGAACTCGATCTCGGCACCTTGGATCGTCGATGAGCTCCACCTCCTGGTCATCGAAGTACCCGCCGGCTTGCACGTTCCCCCACATGGAGAGGGTCTGGGCCTGCCCCTGCGCCGTGCCGGATCTAGGGTTTAGGGTTTAGGATTTATTGGGGGCGCGGTTTCGTTCACAGCCGGAGGTCAAAAGTCCAAGGAAGACCGGGAACGTGCGATCAATTAGAATGGGGTTTTGGGGGTTCCTTGTTATAGGTGTAGTAGAATATATCCCGAACCCTATTCTAATATAAAGGCCCCTACAATGTCACTGGCGTTGACTTCATGAACAGAACTCGCAAACTGTAGGACGAGCTATGACGAGCTGAACACATACAAGCTTCTGCTTTGAAAACTCACTGCGACTGAACAAAGACGGCTTCGAAGCCTTTGGTGCAGCCACATACGCCGTGGAGTAGTGGTTCCTGAGCGCAGCGGTTGAGATGTGGGAGTTTCCGAAAGTAGGGGACCATAATATAGAACCCTAAATAGCAGGATCCTTCTGAAAAGGACCCCGAATAAGGTACCCATAATTTTCGGGAACTCTACGGCATTACAGAGCCCTTCATAGGAACCCTTATAGTATCCCTTTAAAGGAACCCAAACAAGGTACCCATAATGTTCGGAAACTCCCCTACCCGAGTGGAACAGAAAGCATGGCGAGGCCCGTGGCTCGATTTGGGGCCAACGAACAAACGCCTCCTGGGGCCAGGAATCAGAACCCCGCCCTTTTTTTATACCCCCCGTTGAACCATAATAAAAATAATGGCGTATGTTGAATATCTTGTTGGGATTTTTTTTGAACAAAACTAAAAAAAATATAGTAAGTAACCGATGGTGTCTTTCACAAGAGCCACGCCGAAAGGCTCCGAAGAAAAAACCCGGAAGCTCTGTGCTGCTCAGGGCGCAGGCCGAAGAACTCCGAGGTCCCCTTGATCAGCTGCTTCTCCTCCGAATACACACATATGTGTTTTTATATATATGTTTATATAATTTGGAATATAAGTATAAATAGAGAGAGAGAGAGAGAGAGAGAGAGAGAGAGAGAGAGAGAGAGATCTATATCACAGAGCTTCTGCTTCGAAGTTTCCCGCCCTTCCTCTACGTCTGCTTCCCTTATCTTGAACCCAGACTTTCCAAAATCACTTAACTAAGGCATATGCCTTAAATCATATTAGGGATCCTACTAAAATTTGTTGAAGGTATCGTCTTGATTGAAGGATTTTCGAAGGTCTGGAACCCCATCTGAGCTCCGAAGCACCCAAGTCGGTTGAAGCCACTTATATAGAGGATCGTGGGCCTTATTGAGTAGGGTTATAAGTACCTTAAGTAAGGCTAGAAGTAGATATAACCAAAGTTACCGTACTTATAACCCTATAGATTTTTTTAGGAAGCATATAGATAGATCCCTTTAAGGACCCTACTTACTAAGTCCCCTGATCCTTCAAGCAAGCCCGATCTTCGTTGGGAAACCCCGACTCTGAGGGCCCAGAGTCTCAAGCATTACCGCGGCCCACACACGAACGAACACGGCAAAAGAACAAAAGAGCAAGTTAAATGAAAGAAAGCGTGCGTTTTGATTACCGTTGTTCCTGTATGCTGTTTCGTTTGTGCTTTACCCTTTAGAATATAAGTGTGAGGAAGTAAGACAAAAGGACCAAATCAATCAAAATAACTGAAGTGATTAGCGAAGGGCTTGACGGTTCAGGGTTCAGGAAACCCTAGAGCCGAAACGGTTGCGGGAGTCCGCACCTCCTCGGTGAAGGACGGCAGCCTGTCCCCGCAGCGCTTTCTCATGCTCTCCTCGTGGGAATGGGCGTGTTGATTGTAGGTGGTTGCAGGATTTTCAGATCTTTGCCTAGAAGCCACGACCTCCATCTGTAAGTCCGGGCATGAAACAGTACTAGTCGAAAGGCTGAGAGATGGTCGGGGTTGTGATGAACACCAACCTGATGATGCTCATAACCAGGCAAGGAGACGACGATGACGATGATGGGGACCCCTATCCTATAATGGGCTATGTAATGGGTATATACTGGCTATATTAAGGGTATATACCTAGGGGTCCTTATTAAGGGATCTACAAGGATTCTATAGTGATTCAGGGCTCTGAAGATGAAGATGAAAACGAAGATGATGAGGAGTTGTCGGAGGACAAGGAGCAGGCGACGCAGGAGGAGAATAACAATGATCATGATCGTCATCCTCACCGTCAACTACGAGCAAGAGCATGTGCCCAGTGTGACCTTGCATGGCCAGAGATGATGTGACCTGAACCGACACGACTTGGGACCTAGTTCGATGGGTCGCAAGAACTGCAGCGACGTACTTCTGCTGATGCGAGCAGCTTTCAAAAACCCCAAAATGTGCGTGGGATATCTCCTAAATCCCAACCCTCTTTAACTTCAAGAGAACATCTCCCAGCTGAGGCTCCGGGTAGTCGCCCTTCCAGATAGGATCCGCGAACCATCCAAGCTGCCAGTCGAGGGCACGCTGGGCAGCGGCCTTGTCACCCTCGGCCTCCGTGAGCGGATGCCTTCCCGGTGAGAGAGGGAGGATTTTCTATCAGGGTTCGAAATGAAGTCTTTTAGGGTTCTATAAGGGTGCTGCAAACGGCCTGTAAAGGGTTTATAGGCGTGCAGGGATAGGGGTGTAGTAGGGCGCAGGCTTATGAGGCTTCTATGCAAGCGTTTTCATGTGGAAATGGTGCCCCCGACACGACCTTTACGCCATTTTGGGCTGCGGGCTCCAGGCCCATCTCCACTTCACAACAATCCGTAGAGCTAAGCATGATTGGGTGAAGGGACCTCCAACCGGGCCAAAGCGGCGGCGGTGGGGTTCTCGGAGCCGGCATTCAGTGTTTGAGGAAGCACCTTTCTTCTATAAAACCGAAAACTCAACATTTCGGCCTTGATGGTTGAACCTCAAACCCTGTATGACACCAGAACCCCAAATCTTAAACCCTGTTTGACACCTTTTTCAAACTCTGAACCAAAACCTTGCAACAGCCTGGGCTCTAAACCCTCCACAATCTTTTGGAACCCTTATAGAGCCCTTGTACTCCCCTCATAGAAACCTTCAAGAACCCCCAGAACCCTCAAAGAACTCCCGTGTTTTAGGGTTTAAAGGTTGGTTTTGGGGGTTTAGTGGCTTAGGGGTTTAGGGTTTAGGGGTTTAGGGTTTAGGAGTACAGGGTTTAGGAGGGCGCCTCCAGTCCATGTTCAGCGTGATGCCGATTTGGCCTCCTTGCTTCGCCTGGAACTTCTCGCGATAGGTCTTGACCTGACGGTTTAGGCTTCAGGGGTCTTTAGGGTGTCGAGTTTTAGGTTTAGGTTTGAGGGTATTTGGGTTTAGGCTTTAGGGCTTGATGTTTCGGCTTTTGCGTTTAGGGCCCCAGTGACAGCGAAGAGAGCAGAGCGGCCAAGGGGGAAAGCCTTCCCTACCGAGACCTTCCAGTCGAGCTCAAGGCCTTAGTCAGCTAGGAACCCTGTTAATGCTGTAAGGGGTCCTTACTATACCTCCAGAACCGTAATAATACAAAAAAAAGGTTTCTCGATACTCTCTGGGGCTTTCTACGAACAAAAATCAAGAACAATGCCTGATGAGACTATAGCTTAATGCGCCTCAATATGGGAGCTTCCGAAAATAGGGGACCCTAATATAGTAGCCTAAATAGAAGGATCCTTATTATAAGGACCCCCAAATATGGTACCCCTAATTTTCGGACACTCCCATATACCACAAAACCCTAAAGCCCCGATTAAAACCCTACAGCCCCGATTAAAACCCCAAAGCCCCGATTAGTGCCGGATTTCCACAAGACCCGGTGAGGCGCTACAAGGGCCTTGATGTGTTCACTGGCCTAAGCCCTAAACCCTAAACCCAAAACCCTAAACCCTGAACCCTAAACCCTAAACCCTAAACCCTAAACCCTGAACCCTAAACCCTAAACCCTAAACCCTAACCCCTAACCCCTAAACCTTAAACCCTTAGGGCTTTGGGCTTTCAGGTTTAGAACTTCGGGGTCTCGGGGTCTTATGGGGCGTGGGGTTTAGGGTCTAGGGAGATTTGGCTCAGGGAGTAGGGTTTGGGAGGATCCCTTAATCCCTAAAACCCCGAAAGCCCTAAACCCCAAACCCTGAACCCCAAAAAAAACAAACGATTTGAAAAACTTAAGAATTTATCCCTTTTAGATTTTGTGAATTTTCCAATTTTTAATTCGGATGATATAAACATTTAAAGAATGTACCCCAAACCCCGAAGCCAGAAACGCTTGCAAGGCCGGCGGCCGCCCGAGCGTGGCTCAGGATGATGTGGTGCGCTGCGATGTAGGGCTCGGTATCCGGCTTCTCCTTTACTTCGAGGATCTTGGGACTTAGTAAGTAGGGATAGACGTTATAGGTATAAGTACCTTCATGAAGGCTGTAAGTAGATAGAACTATAGATACCATATTTATAACCCTACTTACCAAGTACCCTGATCCTCTAAGTAGCTTTCGTTCACAAAGCAGAAACCTCCCTTCCTTGAAGGGCGTAGGGTTGTAGTCTTTGAGATGTATGGGTCAACGTTCAGGGCTCCTGTCTTTTCAGGGCTAAGGTCCTAGTACTCAAGATGTTGGTTCAAGGCTCTTGGCTTGGTCTAAAGGGAACTCCAAAAAGTTGGAATATGGTTTCAGGGTAGGATACCTTATAATTTACCATCAAGGTTTTAGGATAATCATATTCCAACTTTCTGGCTTTTACTTTAAGGCTTAGAGTCTAGAGTTTAGAGCATATTTATGGGTTTGGGGGTTCAGTTCGAGAGCCCCTGTTCGGGGATTTCGCCTGTTAAGACTCCAATGAAGAAAGATACCTGAGAAGGACTTCAAGTTTCAACAACCCTCATCTGTCGTCTTGGTCATGCAGGCTTAGGGGGCAATGCTTCAGGCTTGAGCTGCTGATTCGGCAGTGTAGTTTAGTAGCCGTTGCAAAGGCTTAGGGTTTAGGTTTTTTTGGTTGGGCTTGAGGCAAAGTCTAGTCCAGCTTTTTGGCTGTTGAGCTGCTAGCTGCACGGCCCCTAGGCTTACGTCAGTCCTTCTTGCCCGGGGCCATCTCGCCGTTTGCATAGCCCAAGACAGTGGAGCACCAAGGCTCGTTGAAGGTGATCCACGACCTCTGCGTCTCTGCTTGAAACGATCTTCGGCACCATTGGCAGCAAGTGCGCGTTCCCCCACTTAAGATGATCTATACACGTATACTTGCGCACATCCTTGACGTGATGTAGATCCTTCAGATAGATAGACCGCTAGAAAGATAGGCAGGTAAATCATAGAGAGATAGATAGATAGATAGATAGATAGGCAGGTAGGTTGACAGATAGACATACAGATAGGTAGATAAATAAATAGGCAGTTACATAGACAGAGAGAGATCGACAGATAGGTAGGTAGGCTGACAGATAGATAGGTAAATAGATAAATAGATATGTAGTTCGATAGATGGACAGATAAACAAATAGATGGACGGACAGACGGTTAGCTAGATAGCTAGACAGACAGACAGACAGACGGACAGATGCACAGATAGACAGGCGGATAGATAAATAGATAGATGGATAGATAGACAGGCGAGTAAACAGATAGAGATGGATAGATAGGTATATAGGCAGGTTGACAGATAGACAGATGGATAGATAGGTAGGCAGACCAGGGTCCTGCAGGGGGTGACCTGCCTGGAAGTACGACACTTGCTGGAGGAAAGGAACAAAACCCAGGAAGCCGGATCCCAAGCTGGGGCGTGGACTTGATCTTGCTGCCGAAGCATTTGAAGCAAGTGGCCGAGTAATGCTCGAAATCGTCAATCACCTGGCCATTTCCCCAGTATCTGCCGACAGTAGGGAGGCAAGCATGGCAGATCCTGGGCACCGCTTGAAGTCGCATACTTAGCACAGACCCCTCAGCACGACAAAAAGCGAAAGCCCCGGCCTGTTAAAGCCTCCTATTTGCCCTCCGACTGGGTCCCACCTGACGACTGAGCCAGCCGCCGTACTCATCCTCCAGGCACTGGGGCAGGTCCCAGTGGTAGATGGTAGCCAGGGGCCTGCAATGAGAGTTCTCTCACATCCTAGGATACAGAAGGCACTCGCAGAAAGGACGCGCGAAGCCCTTCCACACCCATAAAATTCATGACGGACTCAGCTTTCGGTAACCCCAAACCCTAGACTAACCCTAAACCCCTAAACCCTAAACCGGGACCCTAGACCCTAATCCCCCTACCCCAATAAGATGTGGTTTTATCCAGAGTGGCAGGTGCCGTGCAGCTTACTGGCGTCCGACCACCACTAGAGTCCTAGTCTTAGAAAGGCAATTACCTAAGACAACCAACAAATGCTGGACTTGAAAAGTTCCCGAGTTAGCATAAAATCAACCTAAAAGATAACCTGATCCGGGTTCATACTGTACGTGCTGGAAACCCTAAACAGAGCAAACACAATTTAAACAAAGCAAAAATGAAGCTTATGACCAGGACAGTTAACATTAATAGTAGGATAGTAGTCATAGGAGGAACACTTCAGTAATAGTGATAGTAACAATGATTGCACTTATAAAGTTACCACTGATACTAGTAACCATAAAGAATCTAAGGAGTAACTACTTTCCCGGTTCGGACGGGGGCAGACTTTCATTTGCCGTGCAGAATCCACGAAAGCTGCAGATAGCCTTGCTTTTGCTTGTAAGCCCGGGAGCCACAAATATCAACATTCTATTCGGCGTCTCTTCAAGTTTTCTTCAAGCCAACATGCTCCAACCTGTCTTAGCACTACCCTTCCTTCAAGTCCGACCCTTCGAGAGCACACCAACAGGCTCAAGACTTTGCCATTCAACTTGAACCCCGTTTAGGGTTTAGGGGTATAGGGTTTAGGCTACCCTAAATCCATGAGGGTCGAGGGCGAGTGGCTTGATATTGTTCTTCAGGAGCTCGTCCAACAGGCCGTTGTAGAACTTGACGGCCTGCCAGGGTGTGCAGGGTTAGAGGTGCTGCTGGAGTTTCATATCAGAGGTAACTATACCTAGTAACACTATCCTGTATGTCTTTGTTACAGTCGTCCTATAGTAGACCCCGAAGCCCTATTCTAATCATTAAGGCACCTGTACTGGTTTTGCGGTTTTGGTGGCCAAGGTTTTACCGCAATTACCCGCAGAACCCTACAAAGCCCTTAACAAACCCCAACCCCACCCCCCCTCCGCCCTTAACAAAAAAAGCACAAACACAAACACACGGAGAGACAGAGACACGGTGCTGGTCCCTTTAAAGTACTTCCCCTTACCCCCCCCCCCCCCTCACCTCCTTCCCAAAAAAAAAAAACAAAAAAAAACACCCGACCGAGACTCCTCGGGGTTGGGCTCCCCCCGGCCCTTGGGCAGCAGCCGGGACCAGGAGATGGAAAATCGGTAGGCCGGGAGATTCAGCTCCTCCATGGCTCCATGGCTGCAGCTTGAGGGTTTAAGGGCAAAGAGCTTTCGGTGCTCTAGGGCTTATTGTGGGGCCCATTATGGGGCTTACCAGTTTAGGCTAGTAGGTTTTAGAGTCTTCCGGTTTTAGGGTCTTTTGACAGCTTGGGACTCTTGGTTTGGCATTCCGGGTTGCTGCTGGGCTGGGCTTCCTAGAGAGCCCCTTGTTTTAGGGTTTTGGATGTCCGGTATCCAAAATTTCAAGGGGCCGCTGTTGGGGTTTGTGGATCAGGCACTTGTGTCTAAACCCTAAACTACTAAACCCGAAAACCCTAAACCCTAAACCGCTCACTTTCCCAAGATGATGTCCTTCATCAGCTTCACGTCCTCCTTGAAGCGGTGATAGTGATCGCAGGCCGTGGTGCCATTGTCCCCGTTCTTGACCTGGCCCGAAGTTACAAATGTCTTAGTAATACTTAATAATTGAAATATTTGTAATAATGGCACTAACAATAATAGTAATAGCAAAACCAAACATGAATAGCATAATTATTCTTTTACTGTTATCATTATTAGTATTATGATGGCTGTTACTAGTACAAAAACAACAAAAAAAAACGAATAGCAGTGATAATGATAGCTGCAACAGTGAACAGCAACAAGAATAGCAACGAAAACCAATTTCAATGGCTTTCTTGTGGCACCACCTGAAGCCGAAAACAAAAGCTGCACACCCTGCTATAGCCATGTTGCTGCCGTCCGGCAACTCCCTTCAGTCAAAATAACCTATGAAAAACAGAGCAAACCCCGAAGCCAAACTCAGACATCATGAGCAAACAAAAAGATAGGGCCAACAAAACTTAAAGAGGGATCGATCACTGTTGGTCAGACCGCTCTACCCTACCCCGAAAACACTTAACCTCGGAAGCCTCACAACCCTTACGTAGCAGCTGTGCAAACCCCGCTATTACACAAACTTTTTTGAGCGCCGACCTTGCCCTCTGTGGCACAGAAGGTGTCCCAGATGCCTTCGCTTGCTCTTGGTCTCAAGGCGGTGTGGTGGCTCTTTGGGTTTAGGGTTTAGGGTTAGGGTTTAGGGTTAGGGTTTTGGGGTTAGGGTTTAGGTCTTAGGGTTTGGGGGGGATGGTTGTGCGTGTGTGTCTGTTGGTGTGCTTTGTGTAGGGTTTGGGGCGCATGCATTCGCCTCTGGGACTTCCCGGTGTAGGCAGGGAAGCCCCAAACGCCTCGAGCTTCCTCTGTGCCGGAGTCTTCTTTGATCGGGCCTGGGGCCTTCATAATTTTCACACGGTTTTGGAGAGTATCGGAGTATAGCCATAGAGGGACTATAAGGGCCTAAATCCTAAACAAATCCTATAGAGGGACTACGAGGGCCTAAATCCTAAACCTTAAATCCTATAGAGGGACTATGAGGCTGAGGGCCTAAATCCTAAACCTAGAGGCACTATAAAGAAGATCAGTCTTGGCGCATGGCTAAGTCCTAAATTCTCGGAAAAGGAGGGACCCTTAATGGGGACCCCTACCCTATAATGGGCTATAATAATGGGCATATACCCCTAAACCCTAAACCCTAAACCCTAAACCTCTAAACCCTAAACCCTAAACCCTAAACCCTAAACCTAAACCCTAAACCCTAAAACCCTAGGGTATCTCGGACTCCTTTGCAGCCCGGTGGCAGGCTGTCCGTCCGCCCTCGAAGGCGCCACCTTCGATCCTGTGGCTGCAGGGCTTTAGTAACTAGGGGGTTTAGGGTTTAGGGTTTAGGGTTTAGGTATAACTACCTTAACTAAGGTTATAAGTTATAACTAGAAATAACTATAGTTACCTTACTTATAACTCTACTTACTAAGTTAGTGAGATTTAGGGTTCAGGGGTTCAGGGTTTTAGGGTTTAGGCGTTAGGGCTTTTGGGTTCAGGGGTTTAGGGTTTAGGGGGTTTTGGGGTTAGGGGCTTATGGTCGAGGGTTTAAGGATTGGCTCGTTTTTCTTAAGGGGTTTAGGGTTTGGGGTTTCGTGCGTTTGGGGGATTTGCGGCTTTCGGTGTTCATGTCTCCAGGATTAGGATCGTGGTCATGACCCTACACCCTAAGCTCCAAAGCAGGAATCACATTCTGTGCGTTGCTTGCTGCTCATGTAGCTACCTGGAAAGTTAGGGGACCTAGAAGTATAAGCACTTTTGTTAGGGCTATAAGTCATAAGTAGTTATACATATGGTTACCTCACTTACAACCCTACTTTAACCCTCCTTACCAGGTGCCCCAGAAGCGGAGATCGAAAAGCCCTGCACCCTGTGCCTCCAGACCTAAAACCTTCTTCCAAACGCAAAGCCCTAAACCTGAAACCCTCGAGCTCGAACCCTGGACCTTAAACCCCTCGACCGAGAAAGCCCCAAAAGCGATACTGTAATACCAAGGATCTGGTAGGCCGCCGTGGCGCTGCCCCAGAGGAAGTCTTTCCTCAACTCCAACCGAGGTCACGGTTTAACCATCTTGTATATCACATGTTTGCATCATATATCATAGTTAAAACATATATCACAGTTATATCATATATCATAGTTACATCATACATCATATATTATATAGTCAAGGCAACGGTTTATGATTCCGAGTTTGGGATGCTCGGATGGGGGGAGCCACGCAGTCGCGAAACCCTAAACCCTGAATCCGAAACCCGGGGAGAGGCAGCTTCGACCGAGGCTGTTGCGGCTCTACTTGGAGGTTCAGCGGACTTAGTAACTAGGGTTATAAGTGGGGTAACTGTAGCTATATCTACTTATAACCACACTTAAGGTACTTACAACCCTACTTACTAAGTCCCATGATCCGCTAAGTACAGCCCCATCATGGTTCGGAAGGCGGGTGCGAAGCCTCAAGAACTCGCTGAAGGAGCTTCATCACGACAAGCTAGGTGTTTTGGCTTAGGGCACCCTGAAATTGTATGTGAAATACCCCCCCCCCCCCCCCCCGACTTCCCCAAAACCTTTCAACCCCAAACCCGAAAAGTTTGAACGAAGCCTAACCTTGGGCTAGGCCGGCTAAGCATTTAGGAGCACCCCCCAAACCCTAAACCCCAAACCCTCTTCCCCTCCCCGCTGCATGTTGGAACTCTGCTTGCGCGACCTGCCCAGTTCTGCCCTAGAAACCCCATAAAACCATATAGAATCCCTTAAAGGAGCCCAACAAAACCATGTAGAATCCTTTAAGGGAACTCCATAAAACCATGTAGATCCCTTCAAAGGCACCCCCCGTTTCCCTTCCTCCGATCGCCGAGCTTCGGGAAGTCCAAGGTCACCATCGGCCCCTTCTGAATTTTCCCCGCCGGCTTCTTCATGGCCGCGCCGGCTGCTGCGCTCGCCGGGCCTCTTGGGAGTCGGGTTTCAGAGGGATCCTCTAGGGTTTAGAGTTCAGATTTGAGGGTTTAGGGTTCAGGGTTTAGGGTTTGGGGCTTAGGGTTTGGGGCTTAGGGTTTGGGGTTTAGGGTTTAGGTTTGGGTGCTTGGTTTGAAACAGAATCCCTAGTTGGTGGACCCTAACTCTAACCTAGCAGGTGGTTCGCCGGTTTGCGTGAAAGTCGACCCGACTGGCTCACTTTGCCGTTTTCATTTTGTCAAAGCTCCGAGCTTCGTGCAAAAACCGAAGCAGCAACTCGAACACCGCCACAGAACTCCAATACAAGGCCGTCAGAATTAGAGTAGGGTTTTGGGACCCATTTTGCTATAAGTATACTAAGGAGCCCCCAAAAATAGTATTGGTAATTACTTAGGCCCCAAAAGCACATTCATGTGGAGATCGGCCTGAAGACAACACCACCACCACCACCACCAGCAGTCATTGTTTGGGGTTTAGGGTTTAGGGTCATAACCATCATCAGCAGCACCACCATCATGATCACCACCAGCATAATCAGGAACAGCCGAAAAGAGCAGCAAACGGGAACGTCACCAGAACCACGTTAACATCAACAGCAAGATGAGAGCAGTACCTGTGATACGCAGCGAGGCACGAAACCTTCCACATATGATCCTGCAACATGGCAACACTGCAACCACTAAACCTTGACCTTAAGCCCTAGACCCGAAAGCTTAATTAAACCCTAAACCCGAAATCCTCAACCCTAAACCTCAGACCCAATACCTCAAACCCTAAACCCTAAACCCTGAACCCTAAACCCTAAATCTGCCTTACACCCTAAACCCCCTTCACCCCCAAACCACCTAAACCTTAAACCGTAAACCCTGAACCCTAAACCCGAAAGGCCGGAAAGTCAAGGTGCGCTTCATCGCCGAAGGAAATCGGTGGGGCGCGCTGCCTCCTAGGTGGCTGCCGTCGGCGTCTTCGGCTTCGAGCCAGACAGCACAGTTGAGGGTTTAGGACTTCAGGGTTTTGGGTTTTGGGTTTAAGGGTTTAAAGGTTTAGGGTGTAGGATTTAGGGTGTAGGGCTTGAGGAGTTCAGGGTCTCGGATCTAAGCCTTGGGGGGCTTGAGGCTTATGGGGCTTGGGACGCGTGAGCTGTGGGGCTGAGGGAGTTTAGGGTTTCAGGTAGGATGCGCTTTACGGCTCCCAGACTTCAAGGGTCTTCGGGTTGTTTGGGATTCGTGGTTACAAGGCAAATTCAAAAAATTAGCGATCGCGGATCCAGGGAACCTATATAACACCTCGCCACTTGCTGCCTATGGATTCGAAAACTTGGGCTGCGGCTTTAGGAGTTTCCCAGAGAACCCAATATCCATTAATTAAGGAATATACCGTAAATCATCATATATAGCCCCTTAGTTAAGGTATAATCCTTCATTAAGGGATATTGGGAACTTTGGGTTGGGGTCAAGCATGATGACACCTCCGTCGCATCGAACCAGTCACTGCTATCCTGGAATCCTCTCACACGACAGCCCCCTGAGCCCAGTGCGGGCTTCGAGGCCGCTTCGAGGATCATCGGACGTGGTAAGTAAACCCCCTACAGAAAATTACAAATGGAAGCGTTTCTTTTCACATCGGAAAACTGGCGAGTCGGAGGCAAGCATTCACGAGTCTGGAAGCGCCGGCCTGTCATTGAACCAAACAACCCAATACTCCGTGGATGAAGCAATGCATATGAAGAATCTTTCTCTTGATCTACGTATCTGCCCATCTATCGACCTATCTGTGAATTTGGATATGTGTGCGTATGCACGTATGTACGTGCATCTATGTGTGTGAGTGTGTGTATGTACATATATACATATATGTACAGGTGCCATACATGTACGTATATCTGTAATGATATACATATACACAAATACATGTGCATGCACGCATTCATGCATGTATGTATGTATGTATGTATGCACGCATGTCGTATGTATGTACACATGCTTAGTTGAAACTGACGAGTGTCCCTAGTTAGAGACATTAGGGCGTTCCGGCTCCTTCTTGTTTCTGATTCTCATCAGGCGGTGTGCAATGTCCTGGCAGAGTTTAACAGGCGGTGCTGGGATACTTCGCAGCTACTTCGCACTGCACAAGATATGCACCGTGCTGTGCAAGATTTTTCAAACTCTGCAACGCCGGGTCTTCAATAGTCTTCAGCCCTTCAGGTTAATATAGATGTCAACTGCGAACCTTCCAACTTGCGTGGAGAAGGCAAAAAATCGTGAAGACTGAAATGCTGCTGGCTCAACATGCTCAGAATGACTTCCGGAAGCCGCGCTGCGCAAGCACGCCGACATTTCCCGGCTCTCAGATGATAGCGTCGCAAAGCAACGGATCTATCCGCCCTGAACCCTAAACCACAAGCTCTAGCTCTAAAACCCTTAACCCTGAGCCCTGGAAAGTTAGACTTTGCACCTGACGTCGAGCTGCTGGTAGTTGCCCGTCACCTGCACTTGCCCAGTGCGCCGCCTATGCATCGCGGGGCAGATGAGATCACTGCCTACCGTCTGGAACCCTAAACACTAAACCCTAAACCCTTTACGGGCTGCAGGGTTTGGGTTTATAGCTTCAGGGCATTGGGACCCGGGGTGTCTTCGAGAGTGTGGTGTTTCCGGCATCTGTATGGTTTGTGGTTCACGGGCTCGGGGGGGGCAGGGTTTAGCGGCTAGCGCCTGGGCTTGGGTATACAGTGTAAGCGCAGTGGGCTTGTTTAGTGATGGAGGGGCAAGGACTCATCCAGCACCTAAGTTAGCCCAACCACCCAAACTTGTTCTCGACCAGAGTTTAGGAGTCTAGGCTTAACTAACCCCCTTCGCCAACCTCATGATGCTTGTACATGATGCCAAGCAGAAACAAATGGGGCTAAGTAGCATCTGTAAACCCTAAACCCTGAAACCCATACCACAAAAAGGGACCGCTAGTAGACCCTATAACCAGAAAGACAAGACGAAAGCCCCATCCATCAACATCTCTGCTGAGCCCCAATGAAACCTATGAGAAAAAACAACGATTAAAACAACAAAAAAGCAATAACACCCTACAAAACCCTGCAAAACCCTGCAAAGTCCTACAACCCCCAGCGCCCCTCAAAAAAAAAAAAAAACCTTTGCAGAAACCTCTGAAGGCCTAGGAAAAGGGCCAACCTCGCGGGCTTCCGAAGCTGGTGCCCCTGACAGGGTCCCGATATTGAAGAGGAGCTTGGGGCTTCGGGCTTGCGTTTAAGGGCTTCGGGGCTTTGGGGTTTAGGGTTTAGGGTTTCGGGGCTTTGGGGTTTAGGGTTTAGGGTTTCGGGGCTTTGGGGTTTAGGGTTTAGGGTTTCGGGGCTTTGGGGTTTAGGGTTTAGGGTTTCGGGGCTTTGGGGTTTAGGGTTTAGGGTTTCGGGGCTTTGAGGTGTAGGGTTTAAGAGCCAGGTCGCACGAATCTACGGGTCTCGTGATCGGAATGGGGTTCTCTTCGGTTTCTGTCAAGCTTTTGTAGGGCCTTGTGGGTTTCATCTAGGGGCCTGAACAGTGGGACAGGGCTTCTACCAGTACCAAGGTCTTCCACAGGGTCTGATCTCTCGGGGCGCCATAAGGGTTTAGGATTGCAACAGTAGGAATAGTAATACTAGTAGTAGTAATAATAATAATAATAAGTAATAACAAGCACAACAACGACAACAACAATCATAAGTAATAAAAACAGTGAAAGCAATAATGACAATAATGATAAGAATAAGTAATAATGATCGTTGCTGTTGTCATTGCCGAACGGACGGCCTGGCAGTACATGACCGGCACAAACATCTTCTGGCGCGCCTTCCGATGAGTCTTAGCTACGACTCAGAAAACGGGGACATCATGAAATTAGGTGTGCCTTTTTTTGGGGGGCCCTTATAATAAGGATCCTACTATTTAGGGTACTATATTAGGACAGCACTGACAGCACTAACCTTCAGAGGGCTTTGGGTATGCCGGGTTTGGTTCTTGGTCTTGGGATCCACATGCTTGCAGCGGCCCTCAGCTGGAAACAGAAAGCGTCACCCTCAGGGCCCGGTTTTGTCGTATTCGTAAAGGACCGAATCTTAAGTGCTGTCTTAAAAAGTTATCACAACAAACATGAACGGCCCCGACCGCACACTCCAGAGTATGCCAGGCAAGTGCTTACCCTAAACCCAAACCGCCCGGCCTGGGATTCACTCAAACGGCCCGTTTAGGGTAGAGGGTTTGGATTTGGGATCTAGGCAGTGGCTGCAGAATGCTACCTAACCCTTCGGCAGCAGCATAAGGCTTCTACATTATCCACCCGGTAGTAGCCGGTATACTGTTGCAAACTTAAACCACCCTTGGTTTGGCCTGGGAATGCCAGGCGGCCACGGAGGCAGCAAACTCGATATCCTGCAGGCAGGGTCTAGCGGCGTCTAGCGTGGTGGGCTTGAAAATTGCAGGGTGAGGGCTTTAGGTTTCAGGGCTCACGGTCAAGGATGTAGGCGTTGCGGCTTAAGGTTTAGTGTTGATGTCCGCTGTGAGTCCAAAACACTTCTATGGACGTCCGTGTTCCAGCCCATAGCTGCCGGACGATACAGCTTGGGGGGTCCGGTGCTTGGGGCACTGAGAAATCTCGACCCTAGCAACCCTTTGTACAGATCCTTGCACGAAGCCTGAATGCCCTGCTGTGTTTTAGGTTTCGGGTTCCAGGTCCCAGGTTTCAACACGGCCGATAAACATACGGCAGGGCGCTGCAGTGCTGCATACGTCCGTATATTTCAAGTACATGGGTGGTTGTCAAAATTGTGATACCTTTCTGGGTACCCTAAATATTAGGTGCCGTATTATAATAAGGACCCAAAAAGGGGCCCTGATTTTGACAACTACCCATATGCAGGTGTGAGTGTGCGTATAACCGTTTTGCATCACAGCGGTTGCGTACGTCACACGTATATTCACTTTCGGAGTATCTGTATGAAACCGGACACCTATGTTATACAGCGTATAAAACATACACAGACATGTACAGGTATAGGTATAGATATAGACAAAGACAAGGATGTTGAGACATAGATAAAGCATGATAAAGCTATAGATGGAGATATACATGTGAATATAGGTATAGATGTAGACATGATTTGATATGGGCATGGATACAGATGCAGGTGCGGAGATAGACATCGATATCAATGTCCGCACCCACATATCTACAGGTAATTTAGCTATAGATATGGATACGGGTGTATGGGTGCAGATATGGATATAGGAAGCGATAAAAATAGCATAGACACAGACACAGGACATAGGGATAAAGACGGAAATAGTGAGGGATGGCGATAAAGATGGAGCTGTAGCCACAGCGAGAGCAAGGGATAGACGCAGAGATAGAGCTAGAGCTCGAGATGCCAGTGGAGATGGAGAGACAAATATAGGTCTAGAAATAGGTATAGATAGAGGCATAGATATAGATACAGAGACAGACATAGGTAGAGCTATAGATACAGATACATTTTTTGATGTAGATCTCGACATCGATATGTAAGGAATAATACAGATATGCACGACGCAGCCTCGTCGTCGACATCCCCTGCAGGTGCACGGATCGTTACGTGCGACCTGGTCGCTGCGTTCATCTTGGAGATGGCAGGGGTTGGGGTGTAGGTTTTAGAGTCTCGGTCTTGAGGATACTGCTAGACGCTTAACCGTTTAACCCTAAACCCGAAACCGTAGATTTGCGTTATCTCAACTCTTCGAAAAAGTGGCCACGCCTGTGCCAACCTCGAGGCCCTGAGCTAAGAAGAGTCGGAGGTTTGAGGATCGAAAGGTCTGAAATATAATACACTCGTATTAATTTAACAAAAGAATAACTAAGTAAAATGAAGCTTGTTGGTAAAATATAACACAAACGTATTAATTACTTAAGAAATCTTCGAGAGGGCTGGGGCTCAGAGAATAAAGCGTGCTGGGGCCACTACCCCGGGATGCCGTTGTCGGTGTGAAACCTCGGAGTGGAGGCTTTCGCGTCCGTGGCTTGCAGCCAGGCTTGGCTTCAGCTTGGGGGCTATGGTTCTAGTTTCGGTTTAAGGTCTAGAGTTTTAGGGGTTAAGGGTCTTAGCGGTTTAGGGGGTCTGGGGTTTGGGGTTCAGGGCTGTGAGATATGGTTCTAGTTGAAGTAGGCGAAGACATTGAGGGTTCAGGGCTGACATAGGGTAGCCTTGAGCACTTCCGCTTCCCTATCATTGCATCCACTTGGAGGATCATTGGACTTAGTAAGTAAGGTTATGATTACCTTAGTTAAGATTAAACGTAGATATAACTAGAGCTACCTTTAATACTTATATCCCTACTTACTAAGTCCCCTGATCCTCTAAGTAGACCCAAACCCTATAGATCCCTTTAAGGAGCCCCTCCTCACTAAGTCTCATGATCCTCCAGGTGCACCCCACCCGTTCGGAGGCAAAGGGAGGCCAGAGCATGCAAGCTCCCACCCCCCAAACCCTGAATCCCAAGCCCTAAATCCCTAAACCCCCAGACCATAAACCCTGAATCCCAAATCCTAAAACCCTAAAACCCCAAAACCCTCAGTCCCACATCTTTTCTCGTCATACGGTTTGAGCATTCCTCCGAAAGCGACTAGCTGCTAGCACGTTGCCGCGCCTGCTTCAGCAGGGCGCGCCCAACGACGATGAATTCTGGCTACGTAAATGGTCAGGGCTTGACTTTGAGGGGAGGGTGATATATACATATGTTTATTTATTTATTTGTCTGTATTTATTTATTTAGTTATATATATATATATATATATATGTAATTGTTTCTTTGTTGATATTGTTGTCTTTATATCTAGTTACTTGTCTACCTATTTGTTTATACATACATATCAAGTCTTCGGCGGCGGGGACCGGAAGTCTGAGAGAGGGTGAGAGAGCTTAGGAGTCGCAGTGTACGCAAGGAGCCCCAACCAAGGATGGCAAGAGCCTCCTTCTGCAAGAACCGCCATGCGGAAACAAGAGCATTGAAATGCTAAAGCTCTGTACACCTTCGCAGTTGATCCAAGAAAGCACCAGCAAGAGGCAGGATTGACGGCCTCGGGAATCTTATCCTTCGTTCGTACTGGTATTACTATCATTAAGTTGCGACTGCACTTACTTGGTAATTATTTTGATTAAACTGCGATATTCAGTACTTCATACTACGATGCTTATTGCGGAGGCATTTGCCCCGTAGCTTTTGTGGATCAACCGCAAGCAGCTAAGTCCAACCCGAGCACCTTGTGGCTGTCAGGTCCGCAGGGCATGTGCCGTGGCTAAAGGCCTCACATTCCCCCCTGGTATAACGAAGTCTGACCCTCTTCACAAAATTCTGCATTTCATAGCATCTGACTCCGAGAACCCGGGGGGCCTAGCAGTGGAGCATGGCTCGGGCAGCTTGGTTTAGGCTCGACGCCCCGGTTCCAAACTCGCGATTCCTGGCCGTGGTGTGGCCCTTGGACAGCGGCGTCGGGGGCGGCCGAGGCTCGCAGGAAGAGGACCGAACATCCTGAGCCCCCAAAGCACTGGGCCAAAGACAAGATGGACTTCCTCTCCAAAAATGCAAACCCGGTGCGGCACGGCTCCCACACCCCGAAACTTCCCTGAAGCCCTAAACCCTAAACCTACAGCCCAGCGTCTAAGTGGCCAGTGTGCAATAACTCGGCCGACCAGCGTGCACTGGGAGGGGCCAAGAAGTTCGTCTCGGAACGCTCGGCACTCGGTTGGGCAGATGCAGCCCGCCTGCACTTCGAAACATTGGATTCAGATAGGAAAACTATTCAGAAAATCTTGTGATGTCTTTTAGCTGCTGCTCATAGTCGAAATAGTTCAAGCCAGAGCTTTCGGTGCAACTGGGGTGGAGGGTTGTTTATGAGTTTAGGGCTTTGAGTTGAGTCCTGACCCATTCTACCCGATTTTATTGCACTTGGGCTCACCCGCGGCAGTTCAAAGATGAGTTGCAATCGTGAAATGTCCGGCATGCACGCATAAGTACTGCTTGCGTCGGAAGCCCACAAACGGCCCAAGTTCGTTCAACCAGCTTTTATTGCAGCTACCAGTCAACGAGTACTGCTTCACAGATGTGCTATCACTATCTCCGCTGATGTCCTGATCATTCAGGCCACTGGCATCTACCCGGCTCAACCGTTTTGAGACCAATGCACGATCGTCGATGATTAAGCCCCAAGACGTTGAACCCGACAGCGCAGCCCAACAAAAACGCGCCAAGTGCCAAAACGCTAAACCGAAACCCATTATCTGCGAAAACAAAAACTTACAAAACTCCTCAACCAAATGTCATAACCGAAAACCCCCAACCCCGAAAACCCGAAGCCCCAACAGTCCACCAAGACGTAGACTAGGTCTGACTGAGTAGAACTGATTAGTGCTAGTATAGCAGCACGGTATGCCCAAAAACATATACTATAGGGGCCTTAATAATTGGAACATGGTTTTGGGGCCCATTATACTTTAAATATATTAAGGAACCCCCAAAAGAGTAGTGGTAATTTTTCAGGCCCCCCCATCTTGGAGCCCAGTGGCCTCTCAGAAGATCGCAAGCCACGGCTGCTTAGTGGCTCCGGAGGCAGCAGTGAGTCGGAGTGGCGCCTGCGTTCCTCCGCGACTGAGAGTCCGGGTCTCTCTGAAGTTCGGAGGTTTTGGAGGGCAGGGGGGAGATAGATTTCCGATGCTACGGATTTCGGTGTAGGGTTGAGGTTAAGGGTTTCGGTGGTGGCTCAAAGGTTTAGGAGCTTGTGTCACTAGAGCTTTGGACGGCATCTTCTTGATGCTTGTTATGTGGTGTTGCTGCACATGCCTTCTGTGACTACAACGTTCAGGATGCTGAGAATGCTGATGGTGATTCTTGCGCTTAAGCTGCATCTTGTGCAGGGGCTGAAAGCAGTGTCACGTGCCGCTGTCGCTACGGGTGCTGTTGTCGTTGCTGCTGTCGCAAATTTAGACGTCACTTTGGGTGCTGGTTTTCCCGCATCACCCAAACCCTACTATATATAGGGGCCTTAAGATTCAGAATAGAGTCTCGGGGTATATCATACTAAGAATCATATAACAAGGATCCCCAAAAAACAGTAGAAGGCCCCTATCTTACTATCATACTAGAATCATTATAAGGAACCCCCAAAATAGTATTATACTATAAGGCCCCTGTGTTACTATCATACTGTCATCATACTAAGGAACCCCCAAAAAAGTATAAGGCCCCTGTGTTACTATCATACTGTCATCATACTAAGGAACCCCCAAAATTGTATAAGGCCCCCTTCTTTTACGCAGCTCCCTTCCCCCGGTCTCCACCTCTGGGCGCGGGGGCCGCCAGGAGCTCTGCGACGCTCCGGGCACCGAGGGAGCCGAGGGCCCGAAGACGTCAGCCATCTCCCGCTGCAGCTTCAGGTCCAGGTTCTGGGGGAAGTTCAGGGTGTGTAGGGTTCAGGGTGTATGGGGTTCAGGTTTTTTTTTTTGGCTCGCACGACGGTCCATCCTTGTTTAGGATGTGCACTGAAATGAAAAACCCTTTAAGCCACAGGTCTCAGTACAGCTGCCACTCAAATCGTCACGGTACATCTCAGGGTTTAGGGTTCAGGGTTTAGGTCCAGGTTCTGGGGGAAGCTTTATTCAATGGCACTGAAAGCCCTAAGATTTTTTATGGGTGAGCTCTAAAGTACAATTAGAATTGGAACCCTAAGGAACACAATATATATATATATATATATATATATACATATACATATATATATATATGTATATATACAAAGACATATAAAGGTGCACACACACATACATATACGTATCTACACACCGTCATACTACGGAGCCCTGGTGAGCAGTTTTGCTAGTTACTCTGACTTCCCTACCCTTCCTTGGGCGAGTCCATGCTGGCAGCCGACTGCAGCTCCTGAAGCATGGCCCGGTCGCTGGCCTCCCGGCCAACGCTGGGTGTGTAAGTAAGGATTATAGGGTTTTGGGTTTGGCTTAGGGTTTTGGGTTTAGGGTTTAAGGTTTAGGGTTTAAGATTTAGGGTTTAAGGTTTAAGGTTTAGGGTTTAGATTTTGGGGTTTTGGGGTGTAGTTTGTAGTATAGTAAAACTAGGATAAGGAAGCGTGGTGTAAGTAGAATAGTAGGGGTTTAGAATTTGGAACACTGAGGAATCGTAAATTGGCAAGTGCAGGGTTTACTGGTGAGGAGAAAGTTGAGCGTGCTGGCAGCTTAGACATGTTGGGTGCCTTGTTCATGTGTGATGGGCTTGCGGTTTGGGATTCAGGAATTCAGGGCCTAGGATTTAAATGCGGGATTGAGGGTTTCGGGTTCCTGCCCTTGTGGAACCCGCCTCCGCCCCATTGACGGCCAGGATTTTGTCACCAGGTTTGATGTCCCAGGTGGCGCGACGCTCATTGCGACCTTTGGGACATCCAAGATTCCCTTTTGGGATTTCGGCGTCGCACATTTGCAGGGCCTAGAGTGTTTGAAAGCGGAAGAGCATGAAAGGCAGCTTTACAGCGAAGAATTGGCTGCAGATGAATAATGAATGCCAGACTGCAACCCAGATGCAGACTTCAACATCGGGGACCACGTGAAGAACCAGACTACTAGACTTTGACGGCAGGGGGTATCTCCGCGCACCTCGAAGCGCTGAAAGAAGTAGACGCCACTGCCACAAAGCTCCCCGGTCTTAGGACCATACTCTAGGCGCGAACTTCCCTACCAATCCTGAAGCCCGACGTGGAGGAAGCCTAGAAGATGATGACGAAATGAAGGAAGGCGATGATGCTAACCAGCCAGAGCAATGTGCAACAACACCTCCTTCCCCTCCCACAAGCTGCCTCGCTGGGCGCGATGAACCTCGCGAAAGTTCCACTCGGCAACTGGTGTGAACTGGCCAACGCGGGTGTCCACCTGGGCCACCTGCGCTGGAACAATCTTGGACTTCAGGACCCTATAAACCCTAGACTTAGACCCAATGTCCTGAATCCCTAAGCCCTCAACCCTGAACCCTAAACCCCAGAACTGTAAAAACCGCAAAACTGCAAAAACCCGAAAAGGCCGAAAACCCGACTTGAGTCCTAGTTTTGGAAAGCCCCCTCCTCGAGGGGCGCAGGTTCGGATGGCACCTCCCGGCAGTAGCTTCAGTTCGGCGTTTGCTGAATGTCTTTTTACGGTTTAGAGTTTAGGGAAAATTTAAGGTTTAGGGAAATGTTAGGGATTGTATGTAAAGGGGCTCCGTAAAGTTAGTAGGGTGTAGCTTGATGGAGGGGAGGGTTGTTGCAAAAACGGTTGCCTCGTCTAGAATCCGTATAGTGGGGTCCTATTTAGGGTCCGAGCCTTTGTGAGGGCGAAATTATTTTGCTTTGCGCTGCCTAGATCGTTTGAGCCAACATCAGCTTAAGGGGGCTGTCTTGAGGCTTTCTGGGTTGGGGCTCAGCAGAAGAAGGAAGGATATACACTGTCGATCGGTTCTTCCGAAACCTCGACAAGACCCAACAAGTCGAAAGCTGAGCCCTACACCCGCCCCCAAGACCAAATTCACAACTTCCTAGATCTTGTTTGCCAAGAAACCTTACCCCCTAAAACCACGAAGCCGGAAGCTGGATTCCCTACTTAACGGATCAGGTGACTTGGTAAGTAAGTCGGTTACACGTGGACTTGTAAGGAGGATGACCCCGATTACCTGATCCTTCAAGTCCGAAACCCTTAACCCCCAACCCTAAACGCCTGTAGTAGGGCTCCTGTAATCCGCATACAACACCGCAAATCCCCGCAACCTTAACACATGGCAATGACATTAATAAGAACGGGAATAATGGGAATAATACCAATAACTGCAACAAGAATAATGATACTAGTTTCAATCATATCAATCATATTATCTGTTTTAACAGCAACCAATTTTTTCGCCTCAGTGCTCGTAGAGTCGACGCTGTCGTGGCGCTCGTGACGCTTCCTTACCCGGCTGCGCAAGGTGATTGTTCTCACACTAAAAAGCCCTAAAACCGCAAAACTCTAAAGCCCTTTGAAGCCAAACCCTGACACCCGGAACTCTGAAGCGCAAAGCGCTAGCCCTAAACTTCCTAAACCCTACTGCCCTGGCTCAAACTTTAGAACCTTAAGCCTTCGCCAACTCCAGAGCCCTAAATCCCCGTAGACTCGAAACCATGAACCACAAAAGCCCCAAATGGACCCGAAACTTAGAAACCCCTGCAAAAATCCCAACACCCCCAAAACTCTAGATTCCTACATCAAAACCATAATACTCTGAAAAATTTCCGCCCCGGGTGCTCCCGTCGCTCGCGCCGCTCCGTTTCACCGGGCTTTCGCAAGTCTAGCCCGAGCCGGCTCCTCGGATAAGGAGTGTTAACGGTGCCTGATACGGCTTTAAGGGAAGTTCTCTAAGACTCTAATTGGGGTCCGATCATCTTCACAAGGATGCCCTACTACTTCGGGGACCCAAACAGGGACCTTGGTTTAGAGAGCTACCCTTATAGAGGGTGTGTAGTTATAGCGTTGAGAAGGGCTTTGTAGCTATGGGACTTTATAAGGTGTGACTCGAGGTGTTCTCAGGAGGTACGTTGGCTTTATCGGGTTCTAGACGGGCTTGATAGATGTTGTAAAGGTCTCTCATCCACTTACTTTTATAGGGGTCAAAAGAGCTTGACAGAGTCTGATAGGGTTCTATAGTGCACAGCTCAATTATCTGCATGCCGGCCACGACCCCGAGCACAAGAGCTAGACTAGGATTTACAGTTGGGTCCTGACCAAACATATGCTAGAGTCACACAACGCTTCCCTCAGGACCCCCTAGCCCTAGCCCCAAACGCACATGCGCACCCTAAAACGAAATGTCGAAGCCAAAGCCACCCGCAACCTGAACCCAAACTGACTCAACCCAGAACCGACGCCCAACAACTGCCCAGCATCACCGTGTCCACACCTTTCGGTCGCGCTCGGGCACCCGGCGCGGAGAGCCTGACACCCGTAGCACTTCATGGCGGCTCTTGCTGCTACTACTGCTGCTGCTGCTGCTACTGCTGCTGCTTCTACTACTACTACTACTACTACTACTACTACTACTACTACTACTACTACTACTACTCCTACTACTACTACTACTACTACTACGACTGAAACCACAAGAACACTAAACTGTACATCCCCAAAGCTTCCTTGGTCGTTGGTCGGATTATTCAAACTGGGCTATGGCTTCTGTTCTGGTACGCATGTATTAAGGAACCTATAGGGAATCGTCTTGGCAGTCATTCAAGACTCCAAATACCACAAAAACCCTCAACCCTGAGGACCTAGACCCGCCCAAAATCCCTAAACCCTAAAGTCCTAAAGCTAAGCTCTAAACCCCCGCCCAGAGGAAAAAAACTTTAAAGCTTGGCACGAAGAGCAACCTAGGAACAAAAAGGTGCCCTTCTTTGGTTTAAAGGGGCTTCTAAGGGAACCTGAACCCTAAAAAGGGGGAAGAAGGGCCCTTTGTCTAGGTCCTAGAAAAGCGCTCCCCCAGGCGGACCTCACTTCGAAGCAGACTGTAGTCTGTCGCACATCCTGGGCTGTTATGTAACCAGGGAGGAAAAAGGATAGACTGCTATTGCACAATTGTTACATTTAAGAAAAAGTATAAACTGTTATTTCAGAATGGTTCCTTCAAGAAAAAGTATTAAAATATGGTACTCCAAAGCCCAGCATCACCGCGGGCTCTGAGCAAGTCCGCCTTCCGAGTTGTGGGCTTACGCTTTGAGATTTTGAGAGTGAGGGTTTTAGGGATTTTGAGTTTACAGCCTCGGGCTTTTAGGGTCTAGGGTTTGAGGGGTTTAGGGGTTTAAAGGATTCGGCTTTAGGGATCTCAAGATCTCGGGTTAGGGTGTAGGGTTCAAGATTTCTTCTAGGGCTTCGATTTGGTGTGCAAGTCCGCCTGGGATTGCTCTTTGTCCCTGTCTTTGCCGTAGCCCATGCGCAATGCGCACGGCCACAAATGACGGCGAAGCCTCTCTACAGCCCAGATTGCTGCGGCAGGCGCCCCCTTCCCATTCAGAAACATGCGCCTAGATCTTAGCTTCGCCGCTAAGGTTTTCTGTAGGTCCCCAAACCCCTGAACCGAGCCAGACACGGTAGCTACAGAAAGCATTACAACTGTAGTTGGAAGTAGCAGAAGAAGCAACACCACGAAGGCCAGTAGCACTAACTATACATGAGGGGGATGATAGCAATAATACTGGCCATAGTCCATAATCATATTGATAGTAGCAAGAAGAACTAACACGAACAGTCCTTCAGAGAAAGCCATCAGAGTTGTACA